ATTTAAATATCCGATAAATTTTATTGAAATGACGAGATGCGAATTAATGGTTAAATATAATCTAGAAAATAATCTTTCTCTCTCTCTCTATCTATATATATATACCAAAAAAAAGATGTATTATATATTTATGTGAAATCACTATATTACAGTAGTTGAATCAAGAAAAGAAAATCCGTAAAAAAAAAATATTGTTTTTAGAAATTAAATATTTTAATCAATGCGACTGTATCTAATCTCTCGCTAGTTCTCGACTAGAAAGATTCTTATCAAAATTATTGTAAAAGAAAATATTGATTCTACTTACATTGTCTTTTATAATTTTTTTTTTTTCCAAACTTATAGTGTTATTTTTTTTTCTATATTTAGATTGGTTTATCAAAATATTTCATTTATACAATTAAATATATAATGAATAATATCAATGTGCAAAATTTCATCAAGATAAACCAAAAATAATCAATAATATTAATTGCCCCGTCCAATTTTTCAATTCAATTTATGATTACACTAAAACATAATCGTAAAAATATTTTTTTTTTGTTAATAAATAAATATAAAAAATTATTTTATTTAAAATTATTATTGTAATATTAATTAACAGATTATATTTTATATTATTAAAACCAAGAAAGTATAAATAATTGGTAGAACAATTTCATTGAGACTGAAAACTGCAAATTAATATTAAAAAAAAAAAAAAAAATACTTTTTATATCTATAATGTAATTTAACTTATTTTTTCTTAAAATTTTGTGCTCAAATTTTCAAAATTTTTTTTAATCAGTTTTTTTAAAATATTAACATTATCAAAAGTTCAAAAACAAATAAATAAAATAGAAAATTATTTTCACATATTTAAAATGTGAATTTTTAAAAATTAAACGCAAATTTAAAAAATAAAATATATATATATATAAATTATTCATTAATTGTAATAATAATTTATATTGTTATATTGAGTATAAAAAATGTATTTAAAAATTAAGAAATTTTAAATATACAGGACCAAGACAAATAAAAAATACAGAATTTACATAAAAAAAAAATTAAATACAACAAAACAAATTAACATATACTACAAATTGTCATTATTTACTATTTAAAAAAAAAATTAATTTATTTATTAATTAATTGTAAATGAAAAATTAAAAAAAAAATTAGAATTCAAATCTTTGAAATTTTAAAATAATTGAGCATAAAATGATTAAAAATAAGTGATTTAAAAAATTATTTCAAATAACGGGAAAAAATCATTTAGAATATCTTTTTGAATGCTGATTAAAAAATAAGTAATTTAAGACTGTGATTTGAAAAAAAAAAGAAAACAAATTGCCAAAAAATATAATTTTACACGCCCGTTCTTAAAGCACGATTATAAAAAAAAAAATATAAACATTATCATAAAAACAATTGACAAGAAATTTTTCTTGCTATATATTGTATAAAAGGAAATACTACTGTGAAAACACACAAATTATTAATTGTTGCTACGTGATATATATTATTAAATAACATATATATATAAAAAAAAATATTTACTAACTTTATCATTGTTAAATATTTAAAAGAAAATAAACTTTATTATGACGTTAATTTTTCTGTAAACCTAAAAGAAAAAAAAAGGAATGGTGCTATACGTAAAAAAAAAAATTGAAAGAATAAGATTTTTAAAAAATATTTCTCAAAAAATTATTTATAAAAAACCCTCAAGCATAAAAATTGTATTTTTAAGATATTTATATATTAAACACAATATTTCTATAATTGCACATAAAAATAGAAACATTGAATTTAAAAAAATATTTTCTTACTCTAGTTTAAAAATTTTTTTTAATTATACTAAACAATATTCATTAATAAAAAATAATTTTACATATATATTAAAATAAAGAGAATTAAATATTTTTTGTTCAATGTTGTTTATAATAAAAAATTGTCATATTTATAAACTAAATATCTAAAAATATATATGTAAACAATAAAATTGCTAAAAAAAAAATCTTATCTTGAGGGTTACTGATCTTTGTTTTTCGTGAGAAAATTGTAATTTAAAAAAATTATACTAAAAAGAAAAATAAGTTTTCATAAAATTTTAAAAAATATTTTCATCACTCAAAGTGTAACTACATTCTAAATTCTTCCCACGTGACTTAATAAGTTTTTTACTATTTCCTATATAAAAAAAAAAAAAAAATATATAAGATTTCGAATAAAATAACTGAAATGTACAAAAACTATTGAAAAATATTATTGTCCAGATTTTAAATAATAATTTACTAAGGAATAATTCAATGGAATTATATTTATAATATAGCAATATATTATTAGAATAAAAAATTGAATATATTTAAAAAATTTTGCAAAAAGACATAATTTAAAATCGGGACAATATTTTATTTATAATTAAATCAGATTTTATCTAATACTCCTCTATAATAAAGATCTTATAAATCTTTCTCTTTCTCTCTTTCTCTTTTATTCTCCTTTTATCTTTCAGCTTCAGATTTTAGAGAATTTATAGAATTTTAAACAGTTAAAAAAAAAAGTAGAAAAATTAATTAAGGCTCTTGTATTACTATTAGAATAATGTAAGGCACCCCCTTCCCTATACTAATGTATGATATTTCATTAAATTGTTGTACAAGAAAAACGTATTATATTCCAATATATTTAATATCGAAAATTAATATCTGTAATTACAGATGTTAAGATTAATTAATTAATAATTATTATTAATAATTTTTAAATTAAATATACAATACACTCGGTTATTAATAATAAAAATAAGATTTTAAAAAACAGGAATTAATTAATTTAAAGCGCCTAAAGCATTATTTTATATATTATTATATTATATAAATATATACGTAATATGCACAATATTGTAAAACAATAAAATATAAAAAGAAAAATTAATAAAAGAAGCTTTCTTTTTTAATATAATAATAATAATTATTAATTATTATCGTTATTATTGCAAATTTTCCATAATTTATGAATAATTTACAAATTTTCATTATTATGTTAAAATTATAATAATTTACAGACTAATATTAATTTTATAAAAATAAATAATTTATAATAATGTTTTATTAATATTATAAGAATATAATAATTTATAGATCCGATTATAAGAAAATATAAGTCTGCCATTTTCGCAAACATAAAAGTGATCGACAGTCTGGCGACACAATGAGACCAAGAAACTTAAATAAGTAAAAAAAAAAAAAAAAAATTAGAAATATCGTTCTAATAAAATGTATATCAGAATAAGAAAATAAAACGCATCGTTCCATTAATTGCACTCTGTATATAGTAATAATTAATATATAAGTTTATATATGTGTGCATAATTATATGTAAAATAACAAAATAATTAGCATTTACATGGAAGCTATATGGTGTTTAAAAATTTTATATAGTATTTATTTACGAATTCATTTATTTGTAAAATTATTATATATTTAATGTAAAATTATGGCATTGTATCATTTTTATTAATTATCTGTGATTAATTACGATATAATCATTTTGTAATTATCTTTTTTTATTCATTTGTCTCTATAAAAAGCAGGATTAATTATATTTTTGTAATTCAAATTTTAATTAATTAATAACTTTTTATAAATTATTAGAAAAAAAACAACACAAAATGACGAAAATTGAATGATTTTACGATAAACTCTTTTCCAAGGTGTGAATGTTAAAATAATTTTTAATATATAGAAAGATTGACTTTTGCGTAAATTATAAATTCTTGATTCATTTAGCGATTGTGAATCTTATACAGGTAGTTATGTGATTCTGTATTGCTGAAAAATTATTCTATCGCTGAAATCTGAAAGTTTAATAAAATGTTTTCACTAACAAAAATACTTTTGTTTTAATTATATTTTTTTTAAAAAAAGTTTAAAAAATATTTTTAAAAAACTTTAATTAAAAAAAAGTAATTTAAAAATTTGGGAATAATTAAAAAAAAAATTTTTTTATCATTAATCGGTGCTTTAAATTTAAATATTTTGTAAATTAACATTTTTTAAATAATTTTTTTAATTATTAATCAGAATTATATTGTCATCGGTCAATGATTTAAATCATGTCAGTCTGATTACATAACTTACAATGCAGACAATTAAGGAGATTTTTCAACTCTCTAAATTAAACTTTGGACCCAGTTCTCAAAAGGATAAAAAATAGAAAAAATTTTCTTACATCCGTGATGAGAATTTTAATTTCTTCCAAAAATTAAATTTAATATCCGCACTTAAAAAATAATTATTCGTGAGAATTTTAAATTAATTATTTATTTAATGAAAATATAAATTAATAATTTATTACAAAAGTCCAAATATGAAATTTTTATCAATGAAACGAACATTGTTTTTATTCAATCTTATCATTAACTAAAACGAACTCCAAATCATAACTTCAGATAAAAGAAAGTTAAAATTTAGAAAAATTGGATTTTATAAAAAAAAAAATTGATTTTGTATAATTACATTATAATTATAAAATTTTAAAAAATTTTGAATGAAGAAACTTATTAAAGCTTTTTTTTATATATATATAGGAACTTCTAAATTTTTGTTTCGCAATTAAAAATACTTTTTTATGATTTAATTTTGCGATAAGATAAAAAAAAAATTCAGATAAAGTTAAAGAAAAAGATTTTTTTTTAATTAACAAAGCTTTTAATCAGAACCTGAATTTTTTATACTCATTCGAAAATCATTCATGTTATCATTCAGGTATTTATCACGAAATTCATGCGAAAAAATATTTGAAAGTTTTTTTAAAAAAATCTTAAAAAAAAATTTTTTGAACTAATTTTTGAAAAAAGTGTTTTTTTTTTTTAAAAAAGTGTTTTGAAAAAAATATTTCAGAATCAAAAATAAATTTACGAATGGCACATGAAAAAATTCGATTGTTAAAAAAAATCATCGAATGCAATATGGATTTCGAATTTACTGAAAATTAGTTAAATAGTGAAAATTTAGAAACAAAAAAAAAAAATGGCATTAATTTTTAGTGAATTCACATTAAAACTTTTTGGTGTTTTATTTATTATTTTAAGTGGTTTTTATATTTACTTTAAATTTGTTTTATATACATATTGGCGAAAACAAGGAATTCCATATTTAGAGCCTGTGATACCTGTTGGTAATTTTTTGAATCTTGTGAGAAAAAAATGTCACATAGGCGAAACATTTGCCGATGGTTATGAAAAAATGAAAAATAATAAAATTTTTGGAATGTATACATTTCATAAACCATGTTTATTAATTGTTGATCCCAATTTAATTCGTTGTGTTTTAACAAAGGAATTTACAAGTTTTCACGATCGCGGTGTTTATTGTAATGAACAAGTTGATCCATTATCGGGAAATTTATTTTTTCTACCTGGAAAAAAGTGGAAAAATTTAAGGACAAAAGTGAGTCCAGCAATAACGCCAGGAAAGATAAAACTTATGTTTTGTTGTTTAAAGGATCGTGGAATAATATTGAATCAATTTTTACAAGAAAAATCACAAAATGGATCTATTGTTGAGGTACAAGAATTATTTGCAAGGTTCGTAGTTACATAATATAATATTCCACGTCAAGACACCATTTTACACATCTTCGATTTTATGGAAATTTTTTTTTCAATTTTACAAATTTTTTTTTTAAATACCTTTTGCGATTTTCGTCAATTTTTCGAAAATTCGTTGCAAAAAATTCTAGAAAAATAATTTTTTGCTAAAAATGAAAATTTTATTTTTAAAACTATTCAATTTTTTTCATTTTTATAAAAGTAGTTTTTTTTTTTTTGAAAATTAAAAACAGTTTTTAAATAAAATTTTAATTAAATTGCAAAATCTAGAATTTTTTTTTGCACCGTATTTTTATGAGCATTTAAAAATAAAAATTCAAAAATTTTGAAATTATAAGAATTTTTTTGCAATTATTTCATTTTTTCCTCATTTTTTTTTTTGTTTTTTTTCTGTATTTGAAGATTCACTACTGATGTGATAATGAACACGGTGTTTGGAGTGAATTGCAATACATTGCAAAATAAAGATAATGAATATCGTTATTGGGGAAAACAAGTTTTTGAGCCACACACCTTTAAAAATGCAATTGGATTTTTTGCGCCACAAATTTTGCATTTTTTTTCAATACCATTTAACGATGTGGGAGTGCAAAAATTTTTTATAACAGTTTTCGAAAATACAGTTAAACATCGATTAAATAATAATATCAAATGTAATGACTTTATGGATCTTATTATTCAATTAATGAAAAATGGACGTGTTAATGATGATAATGAATTACCTACTCAAAATAATTCAGGTAAAAAAAAGAAAAAAAAAAAAAAAAGAATTTTTTAACTGAAAAAAAATTAAGAACGATGATGAATGTTTTATAAAAAAAATTATTGAATATATATTTATATATATTAAATATAGAATTTTTCCCAGACGACAATAAGGATAATATAACAATGGCCGAAGGGGCAGCACAGGCTTATATTTTTTTTTTGGCTGGTTTTGAGACGTCATCAACAACGGCTGCTTTTTGCTTATATGAATTAGCAATTAATCAAGAAATGCAAGAAAAAGTGAGAGATGAAATTTTTTCCAAATTAGGAGAAACCAATCAACTTAGTTATGATAGTCTCAATGAAATGACATATCTTCATAAAGTTATTTTAGGTATAAAAAATAATTTTTATTGTTAAAAAATTAATTTTTTTTTTCAGTTTTATATAAATTTTTTTTTTTTTTCAATAAATTATTTACAGAAACATTGAGGAAATATCCACCGGTCTCATTATTAAATCGCGTATGCACTGAGACAATTAAATTGCCCAATACGGATATAATTATTAATAAAGGAATTGATCTTGTTATTCCAGTTCTTGGAATTCACAGGGATCCTAATATATATCCTAATCCAATGAAATTTGATCCCGAAAGATTTAATGAAGAAAATATTGCATCAAGACATCCATATGAATTTTTACCATTTGGTGAAGGACCAAGAATATGTATTGGTAATTATTTAAGAATTTAAAAAAAAAAAAAAAATTATTTATTTTCCCCAAAAATAAAAAAATGGATTTTTTTTTCCAGGAATGAAACTTGGATTAATACAAGTGAAAGTAGCGATTATCAATTCATTAAGAAATTGTCGTGTTTCAGTAGGACCAAATACACCGATACCAATGCCAATTAATAATGAAAAAATGGCATATGCACCAAAAGTTGGTGTTCATCTTAAAGTTGAAATGTTATAATATTTAAGAATCTGAATAGTTATATATATATATATATATATATATATATATATATATATATATATATATATATATATATATATATATATATATATATATATATATATATCTACGTCTTTTAATTTTCATTATTTTCTTTTAAATAAAAATAAAAATTTTCTAAACAATTTCATTTTTCCAATTAATGCAATTACAAAAATAATTTTCATAAAATAAATATTAAAGACTATTTGTCAAAAAAATTAAAGATTTTTTTTTTTTTTTTAATGAAAATAAAAATGATATTATATAACGAGGAAAATATCCGAATAATACTGCAATTAACAATATGACTTGCTCCAATCTTATATTTATCAAAATAACATAGTTTCTATGAAGAAAATTTTCAATAAACTATTATTTTGTAAATACAAAAAATAAATTGAATTTTATATAAATAATTATTAAATTAATAATTAGTAATTTATAATTAGTAATTTATAATTAATAATTTTTCTTAAATTTATAGTTTAATGACGAAAAATTTTTTAAGAAAAAGTCATGATGAAGTGTACATTTTATTTTGCACTGTCATAAGTGTAGGTTTATTCTCTATTATTAAATAGTCGATTAGTATTTCAAATGAAATCTATAAAAGTTCAAGAAATTTAAAATTTTCTCTCATTTTTCACAAAGTTTCTTTATAATCAAAATTAAATTCAAATCAAATTTTCCCAAAAAAAAAAAAAAAAAAAAAAATTGAAAAATGGCAATTATTTCCATTTATATTGTTATGAAAATCATGGGAGCATTAATTTTGGCTCTAGGTGGATTATATTTGTATTTTAAATTGTTTTTGTATAATTTTTGGCGAAAACACAATATACCCTATTTAGAGCCATCGGTACCAATGGGAAATCTAGCTCCAGTTGTTACGGGAAAAATAAACGTGGGTAAGTATTTATTTACTGTACAATAGAAAAATTTTACATTCGAATCAAAATTTATTTAAAATTAAAATAATAATTAATTTTTTTAATTTAAATATATATATATATATATTTTTTTATTATTTTTATATATATTTCTTCTCTGAATGTATTTTATAATATAACACCGTTTGACAAAATTCAACTTTTTTTTTGACCCACAAAAAAATCCAACATTTTTGGAATACGAGGAAGCAAAATTATTAATATTTTATAAAACTTGGTATCTGAGGGTTTTCGGTGTCGCTGATTATTAATCTGATGTCAGATTTTCAAAATTCAAAATGGCGGTCAAAATTTTAAAAAGTTATTAAATTTTTTTTAAACCTTGATATCTAGGGGGTTTTTTTGGGTCGCTGATGACGAATCTAATGTTAAATTGTCAAAATTCAAAATGGCGGATATAAAATAAAAAATTAATAACTTTTTAAAAATTTGATCGACATTTTGAATTTTGAAAATCTGATATCAGATTAATAATCAGTGACCCCGAAAACCCCCAGATACCGAGGTTTTATAAAATATTAATAATTTTTAAAAAATATCTTTTAGGGGTTGTTTTCACCCCTAATAACCACAAACGACTTGATCTAGCAAAACGGCCAGATACGGGTATTTTTTTTTTTTTTTTTTTTGGTTCCTAATTTCCGAAAATGTTAAATTTTTTTGTTGGTCAAAAATTGTTTTAGACGGTGTAAATAAAGAGAGGGAATTTAAAAAAAAAATTTTTTTTGTTAGCATTTTGTTATCAGGATGCCTATGAGAAATTCAAGAAAAATCGATTATTTGGAATGTATACATTTCACAAACCTAGTTTAGTTGTTGTTGATCTTGATATTGTGAGGACAATATTGACCAAGGAATTTGCACATTTTCACGATCGTGGACTTTATTGTCATGAAAAAGTTGATCCTCTCACTGGACACATTTTCTCCTTACCTGGACAAAAATGGAGAAATTTACGTGTTAAAATGACACCAACATTTACATCGGGTAAAATGAAACAAATGTTTGACGCCGTTAAAGAGAGAGGTGAAATTTTAAATAAATTTTTGAATAATAAAGCACATGATAAGTCAATTATTGAAATTAAAGATATTTTTGCAAGGTAAACATTTTTACGCACTATTTTTATATTTTATACTCGATTTTATATAATAAACTATACATATGTTTTTTTTTTTTTTTTTTTTTTTAAATATTTCTTTAAGATTTGCAACTGATGTAATAATGAGCACATCGTTTGGAGTAAATTGTGATAGTTTAACAAATCCTGATTGTGAATTTCGTTATTGGGGTAAAAAAATTTTTGATCCAGCGCCAGTAAAAAATACACTTTCCTTTTTTGCTCCACATGTTTTGTATTTTTTGAATATTCCTTTTTTCTCCATGGATGTGAGAAATTTTTTTATGTCTATTTTTAAAAAAAATACCGAATATCGAACAAAGAATAATGAGAGAAGAAAAGATTTTATGGATCTTTTGGTGCAATTGATGAATAAAGGATGCGTTGAGGGAGATGATGGTGCGCCACCAACTCACATTTCAGGTATTTGTTAAAATTTCTTTTAATTTTCCCCTTTTTTTAAAAATTTTTTTTTTAACTTCATTTTTTTCAGATTCAATGGATGGTAAAATAACATTTGAAGAAGCTGCAGCTCAAGCATTTGTATTTTATCTTGCTGGTTTTGAAACGTCATCAACAACAGCAACAAATTGTATTTATGAATTAGCTCAATATCCGGAAATACAAAATAAAGTTCGTGAAGAAATTAATTCAAAGATAAAAAATGACAGCGATCTTACGTACGAGTGTCTAAATGATATGCCGTATTTGAATAAAGTTGTTTGCGGTAAGTATTATTTAGAAAAAAAAAACTCTTTTTTGAAAAATAAATTAAAATAAGAATTGCCTTAAAAAATATTAATTTACATTTATTTTTGTCTAAAGAAACTTTAAGGAAACATCCACCAGTGGCAATTTTAAATCGAGTCTGCACTAAGGATATTGATCTACCAACAACTAATTTGCATATTAGCAAGGGTGTAGATGTAGTAATTCCAGTTCTTGCAATTCAACGAGATCCAAATATTTATCCAGATCCAATGAAATTTGATCCCGAAAGATTTAGCGAGAAAAATATTGCCAATCGACATCCATATGCATATCTTCCTTTTGGAGAAGGACCGAGAATATGCATTGGTATGTTTTTCAATTGCAAACTAGTTTCTTTAAATATTTATTATTGATGAAATTTAATTTCTTTTTTTTTTATCTTAGGAATGAGATTTGGCTTAGCGCAAACAAAAGTTGCTTTAATTAATGCCTTGAAAAATTATCGATACACTTTAGGACCAAATCAACCAGTACCTTATTCTGTCGATCCAGGAAGTCTTGTTTTTGGAGCAGACACTTTACACGTGAAAATTGAAAAATTGTAAAAAAACCAAAAAAAAAAAAAATAAAACAAAGGAAATTTAAACAATTTACAAATTTGTAAAAAACATCTAAAAATTATTATTTCTATAAATTGACATAAATAAAGAAAATGAATCGAATTTACATCATTCTTTGTATTTATTTTTATCATTCTTTTTATTCATTTATAAATTATATTTAATTATTTATTTATTATAAATAATAAATAAATAATAAATTATAAATAATAAAATAATTTAAATCCTAAAAATTATATTTTTTAAAAATAATTTTAATGCACGAATAAATGTTTTTCCGTGTTTAACTAAAAAGATTTATAATCTGATAAAATAAAATTCTAATTATTCGTTGTTTTACTCTTAAAAGAAAAAAAAATAACAGAAAGGTCATTGAAAAATGAAAAAAAAAAAAAAAAAAAAAAAACTACTATGCAATAAGGACATAATACCTATGACAGCTACTTATTATTTAATTGTGCAAATAAGTCAATATTATGTCGATTCATGTAATGCTAAGTGCATAAAGAATAAAGACAGTTGTAAACATGTCATTATTTGTTATCAGGAACGGCGCAATTGAACTTGGTGCCCTAATTTTGTACCGCCTCCTCTCCCCCACCCCTCTACCCACTATGTTATATTAAATTATTTTTATAACTCATACAGTTCATTTTCATCGGTTGCAATAACGACAAGTTTTTCTTTTATCTCTCTTGTACTATGAGTCACGAAATGCGCAGATATTATTTTAAGATATCTATTCAAAAAGATTTTCTTTACAATTTGCTTATATCACTTTAATTAATAGTTTAGTGCCGTTACTGTGTGTAATTTGATTTTTCAACCTAAACGCAAGTTACAATCGTATAAAGCTAAAATAGTTTAATAAAAAAAAAAAATATTTAATATATAAAATATTAAAAATAATAGTTAATTTTTTATTTCAAACATTTTTAATTAATATAATCGTGAATGTAAAAAACGAAAGTAATATGGCGGTATTTTTAAATAATTTTACTATAGAATTTATTGGTGCTGTGATAGTAATACTCTTCGGTGTTTATTTATATTTTAAATTATTTTTATACAATTATTGGCAAAAAAATGGAGTTCACTATATAAAACCAATAGTACCAGTGGGAAATATTTTAAGGGCAGTTATTGGAAAGGATCATATTGGTAATTTATCAAAATCGATGAAAAATTTTTGAAAAAAAATAAAATTAATTTAATATATTTTCAGGTGTTTGCTTTAAGCAAGCCTATGAAAAAATGAAGAAATATAGATTAATTGGACTCTATACATTTCACAAGCCAAGTTTGTTAATAGCCGATCTTGATTTAATAAAAATAGTGTTAACCAAAGAATTTACACATTTTCATGATCGTGGACTTTATTGTAATGAAGTATTTGATCCTCTTTCGGGACATCTTTTTTTAATAGGGGGACAAAAGTGGAAAAATTTACGCTCTAAATTAACGCCAACTTTTACTTCAGGAAAATTGAAAAAAATGTTTGGAATTATAAAAGAAAAGGGTGATGACTTGTGTGAAATTTTAGAAAGTGACGCTCAAAATCGAGAAATTATTGAAGTGAGAGAAATGATGGCAAGGTAATTAAATATTTTAATTAATTGTAATTGAATTCACTGAATGATTTCAATTTATTTCTATTTATTTTCATATATAGATTTGCGACTGATGTAATATTTTCAACAGCATTTGGAGTAAATTCACAAAGTCTTGAAAATCCAAAAAGTGAATTTCGTTATTATGCAAAAAAAATTTTAGAAGTAAGTCCAGTAAAAATTGCTCTTGCATTTTTTGCGCCACAAATTTTGGATCTTCTTAAAATTCCCCTTATCGAAAGATCTAGTAGCAAATTTTTTATCAAAGTTTTCACAGAAGCATTTGAACGTAGAGTAAAGAATAATGTAAGAAAAACAGATTTCTTAGATCTTCTAATACAACTTGTTAACACTGGCCATTTAGAAGAAGATGATGAATCAGAAACTGCAACTATTTCCGGTATAAATTTATTTTTAAGTACAATTAATAAATATTCCTTATATAAAATAAATTTATAATTTTTTATTTTCAGATTCATTACAGGGTAAAATTACAATGTTAGAAGCAGCTGCACAAGCATTTGTTTTTTTTATCGCTGGTTTCGAAACATCATCAACAACAGCTTCACATTGTTTATATGAATTGGCTGTTCATCAGGAAATACAAGAGAAAGTTCGCGAAGAAATTAAATCAGTTTTGGAAGAATATGGCCAACTTAATTATGAAAGTTTGAATAGAATGACATATCTTCATCAATGTGTTTCTGGTACGTAAGGAAAGATTCGCGAATCTCGTGATTCAATTTCGCGAATTCTGCGACCTAGTTTCGCGAATATCGTGATTTTCTTTCGCGAATTCCGCGACCTAGATATTCACGAATCTCGTGATCTAATTCCACGACCTAGTTTTACGAATATCGTGATTTAATTTCATGACCTAATTTCGCGAATTCCGCGACCTAGATTCGCAATTCTTGTGATCTAATTCAGTAACCTAATTTCGCGAATATCGTAATCTAATTTCGCGAATTTAATTAATTTTTTGCTTTTAATTTAGAAACTATGAGACTATATCCAGGATTGGCCTTCTTGAATCGAGTCTGTACAAAGGATATTGATTTACCAACAACTAATTTACATGTGAAAAAAGGTGTCGATGTTGTTATTCCAGTTTTGGGAATTCATTTAGATTCGGACATTTATCCGGATCCCTTGAAATTTGATCCTGAAAGATTTACAGAAGAAAATATTGCAGCTAGACATTCATATGCTTATTTGCCATTTGGTGAAGGTCCAAGAATTTGTATTGGTAATGTTTATTTGATTTATTTTTATTATATCCAATAAATTTATTTTAAAATTGAATTTTTTAATATTAAAATGTACTAATTCAATTTAATAAATTGAATAATTCGGTAATTTTTAAAAAAAATGAATATATAAAAAATTACCGACATAGAAATCTACATTACCGACAGATAGTAAAACAGTTTTTTTTGGAAAATTAAAAATACCGACATAGAAATCTACCTTACCGACTGATGGTAAGGTAGATTTCTATGTCGGCATTTTTATATTTTCATTTTGCAATAAACTGTTTTACCATCAGTCGGCAAGGTAGATTTCTATGTCGGTAATTATATATATTTATTTTTCAAAATTTTCTTTTTACAACTATAATTTAATTAAAATTAAAAAACATTTAATTGGTGTATTTTTTCAGGAATGAGATTTGGTTATGCGCAAACAAAAGTAGCGTTGATCAGTATTTTAAATAAATTTCGAGTCACTCTGGGACCAAACACACCTGTACCACTTGTAATTGATCCACTTTCAAGTATCACGTATTCATCGAAAAAAATACATTTGCGCATTGAACCCTTGTAAATAGTAATTAGAAAATTGACAAAAATTTCATAAACTTGTAATTATTTGCAAATCACGATATTGTATAATATTCTGATATTAAACGCTTTCATAATTGGTGATGAAAAATAAGAAAATTAATTTATTACGTAATGTCTAAACGATGATATAAACTGATTATTATAAACACATCTACAAATATGAATATTGTGATATAATTTATAATAATTATAATTTGTTATTATATATACATTTAATAATTCTTTTTTTATATTTTTTCATTTATATAAATTTTATTATTTTTGAAATTTTCAAAATGTACATATAAGAATCTATTTAATATACAAAAATATATTATTAATAAACAATAAATATTAATTAAGTTTACTTATTTCATTTATTAATGTCTCGATTAATATTTTTCTTTTTTTTTAATGTTAAAATTAAAAGTTGTAGATTTTATCAAGAGTAATGGTCGCGCATATTAGATCTAGAGAGATACTTTTATTTCTATATTGTTTTTATCTCATTTACTTTCACTTGTTTGAGGATAAAATGGCAACAATACTTTATTTTTTATTTGCATTAAATCGATAAAAACAAATTTCTAATTTACTTCAAAATCAATGTAAATTATTAAATAATTAAAAAAAATGTTTTTTGATCTTATTTTAATTTTGATTAGGAACGCATAACAAAAAATGTTCCACTATCAAATAAAACCGATAAACTTATATTTATTCGGTAAAATTAAAATTTTTTCAAATGAATTCAATGGAGAGGAAATAAATAAATATTGTAAAATTTAGATTAGATTTTTTGTGAATGATTGATGATAATTGGGATTAAATTTAATATCCATAGTCTAATACTCTTGGTGAGCTTTTATAATCATAGTCCAATGATGTCGATGATGATGATGATGGATAGGACGAGGAGGATATTGCTGATGTGGTGTAGGGACTGGCTGATTCATAAGAATTTGTAGAGTAATTTTCTTCACTGCCATTTGGTCCATTGATGGCACCATCCTGTACTTGAATTGATTCTTGAGGAATAGTTGAGGGCTGTTGTAAATTGGCGGAATCACGAATGATAAATTTACCAAAGGGATAAATTTTCGCTGAATTTTGAATGCTATTTTGAAGTGCTTCATGATCATTTTTGGTTGCAACAGCATGGGCTGCAGCTTCGCTTGCCGCTTGTGCAGCATGAGCTGCAGCAGCTGCGGCATTGCTTTGAGCTTTTTGAGCAAGTGCAGCTGCTTTTTGTGCGGCAGCTTGCGTTGCTTCAAAATCAATTCTAGCTGCTTCTAATTGTTCATCAATTGCTCGTGCATTGGCTTTTGCTTGGCCAACCATTGTTGTTTGTGCTGCCAATTCGGCTGCAGATTCAGCAGCAGCTTGAGCAGCGTGTTCCGATGTTACCTGAGCCGCATTCAATGCTGTTGTTATTACTTGTACCTGCAAAAAAGTACAGCATTCTAAAACAACACTGTATAAATTATTTATAAAAATCCTATTAAAATTCTAGCAAAACAAACCTGATGCATTGCTTGTTGAGCAGAATTTTGTGCAGCAGTGGCAGCACGTTGCGCCTGTTGTAATTGTTGTTTCTCCGAATTGACAGCCTGATGAGCATTATAGGATTGTTGTTCCAGGCCCATTAGAATAATTTGCTTTCCTGCTAAAGCTGCGGCTGCTGTTGCAGCAGATTGTGCAGCAGATTGTGCCAAAGTATTTTTGGCAACGTACGCTGCTTGACCGGCAGCCGAGGGTTGATTAACAACTGAATTGTGAGCGGCATTAGCTGCACCCTGTGCAATACTCACTAAACCACCACCAACGCTGAAACCAGTCTTTGGCTTTAATTGCGGTGCCAATGGTGCTTCAGCGTATTCACCTGAATAGCCAGGATCTTGTTTAATTGTATAATCAAAATCTAAACCATCGACAAGCTGATCAATTTGCTTCTTATCCAATATATGGGACTGCTTTGCCGGACCCGCCAGTGCCAAGGTCACGCAAACGGAAATCAACAATAACCTCATTTTTCTTATTCTTAATTTCTCTGGAAAATTTTATTTCATTAATGTTATTGATTACGTTAAAGAAAATTCTTCATCTATTCAATTTTTTTTTAATTTTCACCATTGTAAAAATATGCAATTAACGATTACATGACTCAATTATACAATGAGATTAAATACGCGAAATATAATACGTAATTAAAATTACGTATATAGTTGAAATAAATTGAAAATAAACTTCCAATTGTTATATGCCAAATGATTGTACAATAATTTTTTATTCGCGTAACTTTTTTCTTATGGCCTTGCCAATTTCTCTTATAAAAATATACTCGGTTGATTACTGATCGATTTTTGAAGAAAAAGAGAATCTGCGATATAATTTTCCGCTCCCGTCATCGATTGACGGCTTTAATTTTCCTTATAGAATTTCCTGAGATTGTGTGTAAACTATTTTTAGCAAAAAAAGATCACTTTCTAATTTATTTGCAATCAAGTGCAGTAATTATAATGTTATCTCAGAGAGAGAGAGAGAGAGAGAGAGACGATTTTGATATTGTATAACTATTACAGAATCATTTTTTTTTTATCAAGTATTAGAAAATTTACATATAGAAAATAATTTTTTTTTCATTTATTGAATAAATGAAAAGTTTATTCAAAGAGAATAAATAAAGAAAATGATTTATCGTAACTTTATTTTCAACAATAAGAACGGTTCGTGCTATTCGATAAATATATTTTTTTAAACGTAATCTTTAAAGGATTGGTCACACAACATGTCTCTCGCGGCAAAAATGTTAAAAGCCAAAGAGTTTTGAACGTGACTATTTCTTTCGCAAGGATTATTGCAATTGTTGAAATTCAAAAATTCCGACTATATATATATAAATATATACTAAACGTAATCGCTTTACGTACTGTTATATATTAATAGTTTGTAGTTGCGGATTTTTATCAAATGTATATGTATTTGTTTATAATGTATCGGTGTGTCAATTCTGTGTTGGAAAGTGTATATAATGAAACTTTTTCAGGCACCGCCCTTTCAAATCAACGACTATATGACTTATAAAAGTATTGGTATAGCGAGTTGCTTTTACAATTACCATAGGTTATACTTTTATGAGAAATAATCTACATCAATATAGAAAATCGACAAGGCGTAAAGCAGTTCTCATAGACGAAGGTCTGTTTCAAGAACTATTAGATTTCAATCTATATATTTAAACTTGATATGCGAGTGGGTACTGATGAAAATTGTCGCGTGTTCATAAAAAAATAATTCACAATTTCTGACGTAAGATATTATTAGAAAAACAGAAAAAAAATTTTAAACGCATACGATTAACAGTAATTTTCTTCTTTGCGCATATTATTTATAAAATTGAAATTCGATATACAATTTTTAAAATATCTTTTTATTTAGGTATTTTTTTTTTTATTAATTTAAAGCATTTTTTTATTTCACCGATTTTATGTATAAATTTTATAGTAATACTTTCGTTTAATAATTTTTATTAAAAAAAAAAAATTTGTTTTTAAAAAACAATTTAAGGAACAAGTTCTGTTTTACCTATTTTAAAATTCACAAACGAGTAAACAATTATTCCAATTATTTTAGGAATATTTATTCAATAATAACAAAATATGAATTTACCAATAGCAGAATTAATTGTTATTTCAAATAAACAAGTAATTTACAATGAATAAAAATTTCTAAACGAAAGTTTTCTATAAAAAATAAATAATTTGTTAGAATTTTTATTTTTCTTTTTATTTCAATTAAAATAGAAAATATTTTATAGAAAAGTAAATTTTAAATATAAATCAGTGGAACCTCAATAAGAGATTTCAAATTTTTATTAAGCGTCGTGATAACTAAGTATTTAAATTTTTTAAAATCGATTAAAATTTTTTTAATTTATAAAATATAAATTAAAAAATTATTAAAAAAGTAAATTCTAAAAGTTTAAAAAATAACCAACGATTAAAAAATTCATATTCTAAATTTTATTGTAAATGAGAAAATAAACATTTTAAGAGATTTATACAGGTTCAACTGTATTTGTATACGAAAACAAATTTCTATAATTTTTAAAAATTGAAGAATAATTTAAATAAAGCACAAACATTGAAGAAAAGACACTCGCGATAAAAATGATATTTAAATTTTTTTTTTTCCTATTTAAAACACTTAGAAAAAGAAAAGATCACTCGTTCACATTTTTTTTTTCTAATTTGCTTCCGCATATAGAGGAAGTATAATAATATTTCTATATATTTGACGCAATCACTGAGAAAACGAAAGAAGAAAATCGCGGTTGATCTCTATTTATGACTTTGAACTTGAACCCCCGATCGATGTCGTTTAATAAATAAATCACAGAAGAAGAATTTTCCATTTTTTTTTTTTTTTCTAATCTATTAATTTTTTTTTATACTTACAAAAATTAAATACACCAGAATTTCGCTTGAAATTTAGAGCTGTCCTTTGCTCTGGGTATAGACGTTAAGAACTGGTATCACTTTGTTCACTCATTGAAGTTCTTATAGTCTTGCTGGTCCAGAGAGTTTGATCCTTTCAGACGAAAGGGATTGTATATACATTCGAAATAGGCGTGTGCATAACATTTGTTTATTGTATATATAATTTATGTTCAAAAAAACAAAAAAAAAATTTACAAATTTTTTAATTGAAAATTTAAATAATAAATAAATTAAATTAATTCTTCAATTCAAAAAAGTTATGCATCACACTCAGAGAAATGATATATATTTATCTCACAGACTAATAAATATTTCATTGAAATAAATTTTTTTATTTGATTTATATAAAAAAAATTTATTTACACCAAATAAATAGGCGTGAGACAAATATACATTTATTTAATTCAAATATATATTTTTGGTTCAAATTTCTCTGGATGCAACTGTAACATTTCTTAGATTTAATAAAATCATCCCTAATTCAATTATTTATTATTCTAATTTCAGAAATTTGTAAAAAAAAAAGATTTTCTTTTAAAAAAAATTGGAATACAAATTCGTATAATATGTTAAAATCTGAATCTAAATTATAACAATAATTAAATATTCATTAAAGGGTGATTTTCAAGTACACTATGAACTTGATAAATCAAAAGATTTTAAAATATTAAAAAATATATTATTTTAATACTTATTGAATTATAAATAATTGTCATATAAATGACAATTATCGTTGAAGTTTAGTAATGATTATTTCGTGTGAAACGAAATGATTGCTGTTCAAACAAAGTAAAAGTCAAACTATTTCCTACTAGATCATTAGAAGCGATATTGTCTACTACCATTTTAAGTATGTATAAGCTACTAACACTATGATCTGCTTTAAAGAAATGTACCGTAACGAATTTTTATATTTCATTCGTCTATCGATGCGTTAATACTTATCCACAAATTTTTTTCCATTCTTTTAAAAAAAAAATTTTTAAAAAATTAAAAAATTTATATTAAGATACATATCAAAATTAAATTCGAAGAATTAGTATTAATTTATAAATTGAAACTTGTGTTCAATAATAAATTTTTGTCTTTTTAAATGCATTAAAAATTTTAATAAAAAAATTTGCAAATTTAAAACTGATTAATATATATTATATCACGTGGTTTAAATTTCATGCATAGGTGAAATTTAAGATACACTGGTCTAATAATTCTAATTTTCTATATGCAACATAGTTGAAATTTAATATTTAAAACGCATATATAGGAAAATATAAATAATTTCAAGAGGCATTTTAAAATGAACAGAGTAAATAATTCGTGATATTCAATGAAACGACTTTTAGCCCTATATTATTTTCTCACGGTCACAGGAGAAATGAAAGTGTGCACTACATATATATAAAACTTTATCAATCACAAAGATATAAATTTATAGATTTAACCGGATATGTATATTATTAAGAATCAAAGTGTTAAGATTTAAATAAATTATAATTTTCATTATCAAAATAACTATTACTAAACATAGTTTGCTAAAACGGCGATTTTTTTTTATTATTATTATTAATTAATCAATTTTTGTTAGCAGTGGTAAAAATATTGATTCAATAGTTGAAATTATATAATAAAGATGAAATAAATAAACCATAATTTATCAAGAATTAATTTATTATAGAAATATGTAATTCGTAAATCATTTCTCATAATTGTTACGAAAGTACAATATAAAATTTTTCACAAGTATTTTACAAAATGGCGAACATGGATATCCATAACTGAAAATAAACAAAATTTTTGTAAGATTACATTTAGTAATTATAAATTTAATTAATTTTTTTAAAATTAAAATTCAGAAATAAGTTAATTTCATAGAAATTCATTGCGTATATTAAAAAAGACATCACTAGAAAATTATTCAGTTGCAACATTTTTAAATTACATAAATTAAACTTACATTTATCAGAAAAAATTAATTTAGAATATTCTTCCCAGTTTGAAAAAGAAATATTCCTTCCCTTGAGTATAAATGTTGAGCTAAAACAAAAAAAAAAAAAGAAAAATTGTCATAAATAAATTTTTTTAAAAATAGAAAAAATAAAATAAATATTTTCTATTGATAATCAGTGAGGGCAAGTACGAATCATATGGTAATCATAATAGCGTATAATTTTGTAACATCATTTTGGAAAAAAAAACTATAAATAAAATCATTGCAATAATTTAATAAGCTTGGAAAATTACCTTGTTTATTGCCATTTGAATTGAAAAATATTTTCCACAGCTAGAGAACAATCTGAAAAGAAAAGTAACATAAAATCTTTGAAATAATTTTGTAAATATAATTTTATTTAAAAAAAAAATAGATCAGTTAAAAGAGTGACATCAAATATGTTCAGTCATATGCTTGTCAATTGAAATTACATCATGAATTGCCAAGAAAAATAAAAAAATAAATGAAATACAAAACTAACCATTTTCTGTTTTTTGGACTTTCATGAATGATTTGCTATTTGACTCAACAAATCTGAAATAAAAATACTCATTAGTGAAATTTGTTTTAACAATAAAAATAAATTTTAAAATAATAATAAATTTCAGATAAATGTATCACCACATTTATGTATGACAGGGATAACTAAATAGATCATCATGTAAAAAAATTAAAAATACTCGCTAATTAAAAATTTATAATTTTGGTAGGTTTTTTACCTTTTTCGTTAAACTTCGATATTCCTTGATATTTGGATCGTAGTTAAGGAATTTTAAACTCCATATCAGCTACCTGAGAAAAATTACTATTTGTTAATAATAATAATAATAATAATATATTAAAATAATAAAAAAAATATTAATAATTTTTTTCAGAATATTTCCAAACAGTCACAGAATTCAGACTGGGGCGGATGTTCTAACATCATTTAAAAAATTTCTTTTTTAATTCTGAATATATTTAACAATTTTAAAATTGTTTTTCATAATACACACCTTTTATTCTTCATGAAAATTCTCTTCATTTTCTTCTAGACTTCCATTTTGCGTAAGATTCTGAAATAAATACATTCGATTAATAAATCGTTGTTAAAAATTAAATTAAAATTATATAAAACAAAATTCTATCAGAAATTTACCAATCAGTCATAGAATTCAGACTGGGGCGGTTATTATAACATCATTTAAAAAAGAATTTAACAAGATCAAAAAAATATTACTATTTCTATTAGAAATTGAGTTTTTTTTCGATTATTGAAAGTAAGAAATGAAACAATTATTTCTAATTTTATTTACTATTGTATATGAAAGATTAACTATATATTTTTAAGGTTTTATTATAAAAAAAATCACCTTTTAAGTTTATCTTCAATAGAAATGGGGACATCCTTGCGAATTACCTTTAAAAAAAAGACAAATTTCCTTTAATTAAAAAAAACCCCCAACTATTTATCACAATAAAATAGAATCAACGATTAAATCAGAAAATGTATGTAATCATAAATTCATACGAACGAGACAAGTTTTTCATCATTAAAATTCAAATTAAAAAAAAAAATATTAAACTTTTTTTAATATTTCAATTATTTACAATTGATATTTAATATTATTTTATTAAAAAGTTATTATTTCACAAGGATGTTTATGGATTTTAATTGTTGTTGATAATGAAATTTTCTTACCTTACACGTGGTTAAAGAAAGCAAATCAATAGATTCTTAAATTTTCTTTTTTAAAACTAAATAAATTATTTTTCAAAATAAAACACTGCTGTTTAATTAAATCACTGGTTTTTATAAAAATATTATTACTTTTTAGAAAATACATTGTTTAAAAAAAAAAAAAATGTTAACACACAAAAAAAGAGAATGATGCTTTCAGCTCGAAATCCAGAAATAAAATGGACGAGAGACGCGCTTCTCTTGTATTTAAAAGGAAGTTAGTCAATATTGCCAATATAGCAACACAAAAATTACTAGAAATGTAATAGTAGCGGGAAATTTTATAAGTAATTTTTTTTTAAATGCCCCAACTGTTTTTAAATATTTCCTAGATAATAATACTTTATTATTAATTCAATAGAAATCAATTTTTTATAAATTAAGTTACAAAATTACAATTACAATTTATAATTACAATTACATAATTTATACTTACTATATTTTAAAAATTATGATCTATAATCGATTCGACTGTGAGAACTATAAACAATTTTTCATTAAAAATCTTACGAAATTCTAATTTTTTTTTATGGTTAATTTTAATAACTTCATTAATGAAACAATAATTAATTAATGGTTCTGTAATATAAATTATTAAAAATATAATATTTTTATTATATTATATTATATTATATTTTATTTAATTGTCATTATTTTTATTAAACAATTATTATTGTCTAAAGAAGATCTCCATTTTTTAGAAATAATTTAAGAATTCACATATCGTACTCGTAAAATTAAAACTATGTCACAAATTATTAGCGCGCATATAAATTTCAACTGAAAGTAATTATAATTATATTATATTTAAAATTATTAAAGCGCAAAAAAAAAAAAAAAAAATGGGGACATTGAACAGTAATTGTACCAATCAGCCCTAATATCTATTCGCATTATTTACCGTTGATCGAACGGAAATGCTTTTAGTTGAAAATATAAAGAAGTCATTAGCATGCTGCACAACAGGTAACATAAAAAACAAACCTCACTGTAAAAAATCTCACATTTCTTTTTATGTCATTCATAATAATTTTTAAATATTTTATATTAAATACAATATAATTAAAAAAAAAAAACAAGAACAATTATTGAAAAATAATCATTATCTCATTAAAGGTAATTAATCATAATTTCTTTTCTTATTAAAAAAATCTTTTACAAAAAAATAACTGTAAATTTAATAGGTTTTTGGGTCTTTTTCAAGAGGGTTACATACAATATATTATAATATCGTAAAGAGGGAGGGGGGAAGAAAACCAGGTAGTGGGAAAAAAAGAAGGGAGGGGGGATTGGGCCCCACCTGATCTAACCAGACTAAGAACCATGGTTTTCTATATGGCTGCCGTGATCTTAAGAATATAAACGTCGATCGTTCTTTCAACGCGTTTACATAAATTTAAAAAAAAATAATCATTTCTTATTGTACAATAAGAAAAAAATAAATAAATAAAAAAACGTTCACAGAGGTTGGAAAAAATGTGGTCAAAATTAAAAATTTTTAAAACTGATTTAAAATGTGATTGTGTAAATATCGCGAAATTAAAGTTTTTAATTTCCCAGTGTAAAATTATAAGTGTGCATAGTGCATAATGCAGAAATTCCTTTGTCACTTTCTGATAACATAATCTTTCAAACGACACAATTTCCTGTCTCATCATATATTGTAAAATCGATTTTTATTTTTTATGAAAAAAAAAGGAATGAGAATATCGAAGGGAAAGGATTTCAGAGAAAGAATAGAAAAGAATATAGAAAAAGGATAAGGATTTAGATAAAGGAGGAGGTTTAGAAGAGGATTGAAAAGAAAAAAAATGGTACAAAAAAAAAGGATTAAATAGAAAAAAAATTGAAAGAGTACAAAAATAATAATTTTGCTAACTTTTGTATTGAAAAACAAGATTAAGAAACTGAACTGATTCTAAATAGAAAATTTCCCCAAAAAGAAGAAAATTAAGAAACGAAATTTTTTTTTTCGAAAATAATGAAAAAGAATAATAAGAGTTAAATAGATACAAAATTGAGAAAAAAAAAGTAATAAAAATTTTGATTTTTATTAAAAAATTTCAAATGCTAATGAAAATAAAGTGGAAAAAATTGTTGAGAAACAGGGAATGTAAACATTTAAAGTTGAGCGACCCTGTACGGTGCAACAAGTGGTACTCGTTAACTATATATATATATATATAGCGGAGTAAAAAAAGCTCTAGATATAATTTAACGTTGAATAATAGCCTCCTCACATCGTCGACGATTGGCACTTGGGAAACAAGAGAGAAGTGACGAGAAGAGCAATTGTGCCAAAACGTCAAAAGGTCGTCGAGCAGATGATATTTGCTGTCGCGTCACGCCAACGCGCGCGTGTGATTCACACACAATTTCCGCACCTGTATAATTTTTATTATTATTCTTTTCTTTTATCCCAGTGAACAAATACTCATTAAATATCTAAAGAGACAATTTTGAAAAAATGCATCATTTTTTTTTTTTTTTTTTTGTAAATATTGTAAGACAAAAAGTTTCCAAGACTGAGACATTTTTCAATAGTTCATAATTATTAATCTACCAAAAAAAAAAACCCTTCGCCTCTGATACAAAGAAATTGAAGAAAAAAATATAGAAATTTAAACACAAAAAGAAGCGAACCAAAAAAAGAAATAGAAAAAACTACTTAAAAACTTTTACTTTAATAATTATATTGTAAATAAAAATTGGATAATAAATTCTCAATCTTTGTTGAATTGAATGAGGCATCGTAGCGTGAATGGGGAGAGCATGCGTAACGTTATAATACTTTCGTTTTTTCCAGTTCTTCCCAAGAGCCGTACTCGAAAAGCGCGCGATAGTCTTTTATTCCTCCTAATAATAACCGGTCAAGGCTGATTTTTATACAAGAATTTAGAAAACAAAAAAAAAACTAAATTGAAAAAATTTGAATATAAAAAAAAATTATGATAAAATAAAAAATGATATAAAAATATTGAAGAATATTTCAAATGCTGAAGAAGATTGGAATTTTTTTTTCCAATGAGAACAATTTCTAGTCCAGTAGGAAGTTTATGATCCTTGACAAAAAAATATTACAAAAAAAAAAAAAAAAAAAATTCGAAGAATGGAGAGTGAAACAGGCCCACCACCGTGGTATTCAAAATGCTTTGAATATTTACGTAATCGAAATCGTATTAGTCCTGGAAATGTGGAATTATCTGATTGTGATTTTTTTATAGTTGAATCTAAAAGAACATTAAGAATATTGAGACCCACATTGAAAAGTGGTAAATTTTATGAAAATACCGATCATGAACGACCTGAATCGTTGAATGATAATTTTTTTTCCCGTTGGTCAAGAAGACCACATCCATCAGGAAATTGTCGATGTTCATTTCGACAACAATGGAATAATCGAGTGAGCACCACTGAGGAAGAAATAATATCTGCTGAAATTAATCGAATTAGAACAAGTCTTTGTGAGGCAAAAACTGGTGAGGAAATTGCCGAAATTGAAAAACGTGTTTCATTAACATTGGAAAATTTACGTGTCACCAATGATGAACAACAACAAAAAATTAGAGATGAAAAAATTTTCGATAAAGATGTGTCTGTTAAAAATAAAATTGTCCGCGATTTAGAAAGGTAATTTAAATTTTCATTTATTTTTTTCTAATAAAAACTCAATTTAGAGACCATTATGTTTATGACCCGTATGTAAATTATGTAATATTTATGTAATTGCATATTCAGTGTAATAAAATTGTATATACAAAAATATTTCTTATGCTATAAAGAATTTTTTAATTTTATTTTAAAAATAATCCATTTTTTTTTTACAATTTTCAGTTACATAAATGACCTTCTGGAGGAGATTATGAGCGACACGATCAAGTTCATATCCGAGGCTGGGAATTCTCTTGACAGGAAATTAAGATCTAATGAAGATAAACATTGTGAAAAAAAAACAATGGTACAAAATTCTCAGACAAAAATAATCAATAATTTTGAGATCAATTTTGCGTTTCCTGATGAAAAAATGGAAATAACAACATCTAATGATGGTTACGTGAATCCGGCATTTGATGGCACAACACGTGAACCCGATGCTTTAAATTTTTATCTACGTCGTCAACTTGGCACGGAAATTATTCTCGAACAATTGGATTGCATTGATTCGGGAATAAATAGCGTTGAAACTGTGGAATTGCAACAGGAACAGGAACCAAGCTTAGAGGAATCTCTATTGGAAATTATTGACGCAAAATTGGGAAGAACATCAATAAATGGCAATAAAAATTGGGACGAATTGGAAAATATTACAAATTTAAAAGATTCGGAGAATTTAGAAAAAAATAGAGAAACTTTTATAAAAGATGAAAAAACCCAAAGTATTGAAAAGGAAATTTCCGCAATAAAAAAGACTGAAATCTTAGAAAAATCAATTGATAATGTAGATTCACTACAAGAGGATTTTCGCGAATTTGAAGATCATGTGGATGATGAAAGTTTTGAGAGGCTTCGATTAGAATTTAAGGAAAGTACAAGTACTCCAAAGGCAAAAACAAAACGAATTACAGCATTCAAGGATAAATTAATAAGTCATTTAAATAGTTCAAATAAAAATAATCAATCACTAAAGAATTCATCGTCAAATCTTTCACTTGAATTAAAAGACTATAATAAAAATTGGTCCAACTTTGAAGTGCCGTCAAATTCATTTTGTCAAGATCCAAATGATTTTGTTGTTTTTCGAAGAAATCGAAAACCAACAATTGTTTTTATTCATGGTTTTGGTTCATCAGCGGAAATTTTTTCACATCAATTGGAATATTTTTCAAATTTAGGTTATCCTTGTATAGCACCCGATCTATTGGGTCATGGTATGAGTTCTGCATCTAATCGATCTGGAGATTATCATTTTGAAAAATTATTACAAGATTTGGATTTAGTTTTACATCATTATGCATTTAAACCTGAACAAAAATGCGTATTAGTTGCACACAACTATGGGTGAGTTTCAAATTATTATTTATTTATTCAATAAAAAAAAAATAAAATGCTTGTTATAATAATTAAAAACAATCAATTTTGTTCCAAGTCATAAATTGCTTATAAAAAAAAAAATGAATTTTTGAAGAATAGAAAAATGTGCTCTATTAAACGTATATTTAATTAAAAAAGAAGAAATATAATATTATCTTTGGTATACAATATTGAATCTGAATTTTGCGGAAAAAGAAAAAGTTTAAAGAATTTTTAAAGCATAATGCACAGATAATAGTAAATTATTCCAAAAGATAAAAATCTACTCGTAAAACTAATTATTTTGACGTCATGGTAAAAATTTCCACTTTCGCGAGTTTCAAGCGTAAAAAGTTACACGTAAACTCACTTTAAAATTGATACAAAGACGGATAATGAAATTGTAACCCATTTCTATTTGTAAATTTATTTTTCCAAGAAGTGCAATTCACTATATATATGTATAAAATATTATTTTTACATGCTTTCTATTTTCAAGAAAATTGCAAAAATATCAAACAAATTTTAATTAAATTAATTTTTAAATTGATTTACAATTGAGATGTTATATTAAAAAATATTCTTTTTCGATTGAATTTTTAAAACCGGTATTCCAAACTGGCTATATAAGGTTAAATTTTTTCTACTGTGAATTAAAATAAAAATATCCAAATTTACTATCAACTATTTTATACATGTATATCTATTAATAATTGAAAATATTATTTTTGAATATTAATAATAATTATTTAAAAGTCGAGTTATAAAAATATTTATCTTACTAAATTTTTGATATTCATTAATTTAATATTTGAAAAAATTTAAAAATCTCTTATTGCTAAATTTAAAAAAAAGAAATGTCAAACCAGTTGTTTAATGTTAAAAGAACTGGTTTGAAAGTTATAAGCTGTTTATGTAAATTAAGTCATAATTTTCATGAAAATAAACTGCCATCAACAATTTATGATTATATCAATAATATACTTTCTCTTTAAAATATATACTGATATCAATGAAAGTGTTTTTCTTTTTTTTTTCTCACACAATTTGACATTTTTCCAAAAAAAAAAGAAAAAAATCTATTCGCATATTCATTTGTTCAAAAATTGAAGGTGTAATTTAATTTGTAGTAATTTTAAATTTTTTGCGAGAGTTGACAATCTTATCTAGGAGAAAAGAAAAAAAAAATTTGCAATGAGTTTCTAACGAAGGTGTGTCTGTTATACATATAAATATTCAATAAAAGAGAAAATTTTCTCTCATTATTCAGAATAAAAATTATTTCTATTTATTAATAAATAGAAACAGATTTTGAAAAAATATTTAATTATTTTTTCTAATGTTAAAAAAAGAATTTTATGAAAATGGAACATTGAAACCTTATTGAAAAAAAATGATGAATTAAAATACTGTTTTAGAAATTACTTTGCTAGATGAGACCTACGCTTCTTGTAATTTCAATGAAAGAGACAATGAATCCTATTTATTCTCAATTAATTATTGCAACATAAATGTCTTGTGGGTCGAAGCAGTAGTCATGTGATTAATAAAATGATACTCACGCGCAAACATTTTTTTTTTTTTTCTAGATGTAGCTTTGCAACGGCCTTGGCCTGTAAATATGAGAGCAGCATTCATCAATTGGTGTTAATATCTGGTGGTGGACCAACACCATTGGCACCACCAAGTAATGAAACTGCTGGACATTGTTGTCTAAGGGCAATGCTCACACCATTTCTTGTTTGTGGACTTCATCGTGATATTTTGTATTCAGCAAGGGGACGTCAACATCCTTATTGTGGTTTTGAAGAATCAGAGGAACAATGGCCCTCACATATGAAATACGTATTAAAAGGAATGTCATGGCCGGAAGGTGACTACGTATTCCATAGAAGGATATGTACGCCAACTCTTTTGATACATGGACTCAGGGATAATAAAGTGTCACTCGTTCAAGAATGTCAAATGGAACGAGTAAGTTATTAATTATTCTTCAAAAAAATTATTGTCAAATTAAAATCCAAAAAAATTTTTTTTTTTCAGACCATGATCAAGGCATTTCTCGAAGCATTGCCATCGGCCGGACATATACCAATGACTGACTGTCCAAATCAAATAAATCACATGATCCACTGTTTCATAGACCTCTGGAAGAATAAAAGATGGTGACAAAAGTGCAATGAAAAAAAAAAGTGAAAAAGAACAATTTAAAATTAAGTACTTGATAAATTATTTTTTTTAAAAGACTTTTCATCGAAAGAAAATCCTTGTAGATAGATAGATTGTAGACATTTTTTTTGTACATTCTGATATAATACTCTTTTTTTAATTTTCTTTACAAGCGCTCTGAGTCCATTTTTCCACTGCCAAATTTCCACAATTTTTGAATTTGTTAAAAAAAAGAAATCTAGTGCGCACGGTTGTACCAAAGTGTATATTGACTTTACAGCACCGAGTAATAAATTATTAATTTACAAAAGAAAAAAAAAAAATGAGTTTAAATTATTTAAAAATTACTCCCTTAGGATAATATAACCTGAGTCAATATAATAATTTCAAAATAAGAAAATTCAGTCGTTTTTATATGCACAATAGTTAGCTATTAATAAGTCTTTGATTAAGTGGATTTTCCGGAGATTTCATCCATTCTTTTCTTAATATTTGTTTTAATTGGCTAAGTCTTAATGTTGGATTTTGATCTTTTATTATTGGCATCATTTTCTCTTCAAAAGCAGTGTATGCTGCTTTCATTCTTCTTTCGGGATGTTTATCCACTTCGGGGGATTTTACACTGTAAATTATTTTTTTTTTAATATTAAATTCTTGATAATTAATAATTTAATTAAGAAATTTGAATTTTTTTTTTTTTTCATTTACCTCAATACAGAAAGTGCTTCGTCAATTCCATGTGCTGTTTCACCCTCAAGAATAATTCTATTCAAATTTTCTTCAATTGGTTTTTCCTCTTCTTTTTTCTTCATTACCACTTGATTACGTTTTTCAGTTTCTGCCATTATTTCAGCTCGAGTGACTTTTGCCAAAGGTTGTTTTCCACCGACTTTAATGGAAGATATTTCCTTTTCTAAAAGCGCTTTGACCTCTGCTTTCTTTTGTAACTGTTCTTGACGTTTTTTCTCTGTTTCTTCCTAATGATAAAAACGATAAAATAATTTTAAAATAATTTTGTTTCAGTATTTCAAAAATTCGCACTATTAATTCTTCGATAATTTAAAATTTTTTTTTAAATTTTTATACCTGTTTTTGTTTCTTTTTTAATAATTGTTTATCGTCATCTTTCCATGCTCTATCTTCAGCTTCTTGAGCTTTTCTTGTATTTTCAGCTTCTTTAACAGCAGCTTTTCGAGCGCGAGCTACTACAGCTTTGCTGTTTTCGCCAACAAATTTTTTAGGCATGATTAGTCTAAAAAAATATTAATTTTTTAATTTAAATATAGCCACCACTAAAATCATAAATAAATTTACAAAATCTATTTTTTTTTTTAATTTAAAGTTTATGAAAATGTATTTATTTAAAATAAAAATAAATAAAATATTTAAAATTGAAAAATTTTCGCGCTCAAAATGATGTGTTGGTAACACTGGTGTACATGCGAAGTAGTAAAAAAAATATGTTGAAGAGGTTAAGACAAAATAATAAATACAATTTTCCCTTTAATACACTTTAAAGGCATAAAGAAAATATGATTGTATGAGAAAAAAAAATGACTCAATGTTAATTTTAAGAAAACAATTAATTTTTAATGTAAAAAAAGTTTCAAATTTTCAAATAGTGAAAGAAATGTCAAAGATGGGAGCAAAGAAAAATAGAAAGCCTGAATCAACAAAAATTGAGGTATATCAAAAATTAATTTTTCTACTTACAAGTAATAATTTTTTTTTAATGTCGATTATAATATTATTTTCAATTATAATCATCTATTTAAATAAAAATTTTGCATTTTCCACAAAATACTATATATCTTTTCTCAGGAATATGATGACTTGAGATTGAGAAACATTACCAACAATTGTCAGGCGTACCAATATCTTAAAATTAAATTTCACTTTCGTGAGCGGGGGGCTTATATTGATTTAATAAAAATGTATTTAAATTCTATTTTTAAAATAATTTTATTTTTATAAAATATTATAGAGAAAATAAATGATTTTAATGAAAAAAACAACTTTTTTCAATAGAAATACTTTTTTTTTTTTAAATAAATAGATTATTTCATTTAATTTTTAAAATATTTTATTTTAAAATTGAAAAAAATTTTCAGACAATACCTCAAGGACCAATTTCTCTCGAAAAAGATGGAACAATATCAATTAAAATTAAAGCGAAACCAGGTGCGAAACATAATGGTATAACAGGTGAGTGGTAAAATTAAAAATTAATTTCCCTTAGTTGAAAAAAATTGCAATATTAATATTAATATTAAATTAAATAATTAATAAATAATTAATTATTAATTAATATTAATTAAATTAATAAAAAAAAATTGCAATATTATTATTACAGATATATCCGAAGAAGGTGTGGGAGTTTCCATATCAGCTCCACCAGTTGAAGGTAGTGCGAATACTGAACTCGTAAAATATATGGCATCTATTTTGAATTTAAAAAAATCAGATGTTTCCCTCGATAAGGTAGAATTTTTAATTAAATTTTAATTCCTCAAATTCTTTTTTTAAAATCAAATTTTTGTTTTTTTAGGGATGTCGAAGTCGTCAAAAGAAGATTCTCATTTCCGGTTCTAATATAGAAAATATAATGGAAAAATTAAAGGAAGAAATGAAAAGTTAATTTTTAATTAATAACTTCTCATTAATGTACAATTATTTTATTATTATTATTAATCACATTGACATTTAGAATTCACATTTTCTTGCATACAATTTAAAGAGCATTTGTCACATAAATTCTAGGGACACTCATTTATCCACTAATTATATGGCAGTTTTTTGTTCATTTTTTTATAAACAAATATAAATGAGGTATAAACATTAAAAATTCAATATTGGTTCAATAAAAAGATTAACCTTTTATAAAGGAGCCACAGAAAATTATAAGGTATTAAAATAAGCTGCAATGTTTATTATTTTAATCCAATTTTGTTTATTTTAATACCAAAATGGATTAAAATAATAAGCGTTGCAGCTTATTTTAATGCCTTTTAATTTTCTGTGAGAATATTATTTTATGAAATCTTATCATCTATAAAAGACGCGAGTACAATTGACTTTGCTGAAGCTTTTATAATGTCGAGTATAGTAATTTTTTTTTTTTATTCTTGAATTTCAAAAGCCTTGTCATCGAGCCAAGGTCTAAAAATTGGTAGAGTCGATGGATAATGAGCTCCTCTTTTTGATGGAGCTGTTCCCGCTGGAGCTCCCTCCTGTCTCAAAGGATATGTGGCAAGGACAATGGGAATCTGCAGTTTTATTTCCTTATCCAGACTCTTTGGACTTATAACGAACTGCGAATACATTTTTTTTTTTTTTTAAATTAATATTTTTATATTATTCGCTAAATTGTTTATTTTACTCACATAAACGTGATAAAGAATGTTAATTAGATGGCAGCCTCTTAAATTTGTGGGTGGCAAAGGTGGAACGTACATTTGTTCATTTAACCATTCTTCACCCTCACCTGGACGAATTTTCCCTCTGGAAACACTGGCGAGTTCACGTGTTTCACTCGCTAGTACTTTACCCCTACATAAATATTGAATTGTTTCAGTGAGCGACGCTTTCGTTGACTTCATTGTCACCTGAGGAAATGATCATTTCTTTTTTATATACACACTGAGAAAAATATGCTATTGAATCAACAGCAATTCTGCCAAAGGTATAAAAATTATTGATTCAAAAGCATATGCTTTAAAAATTGGAAAAAATATTTTATAGATTCTATAGCATGCTTTTGAATCAATAATTTTTATACCTTTGGCAAAAATGCTATTGATTCAATTGCATATTTTTCTCAATAAATTATAATGAAAAATAAAGGAAATGATTTATGAATTATTTTGACATTATTTTGCCAAGAATGTAAATATTGTGAGAGGTGTGTGTATAATAGATGAACACACACACACCTTGCTGCGATTGCTGACAGTAGCTGAAATACCAATGGTTTCACCAGGGACATATCCACCTCTATCTAAGCTCACTCTACAGAATACAGGTCCACTTGAGACACAAGATACACCTACGCGTTGTTCAACCTCTAATCTTGCCGGTTGCTGCACATAAATATTACACAATGAATATAATATGTATACTCTCTAACTATACATCATCTTTCACTCGTTATATAATTCAACAAATTTTTTTTTCCCAACCATTCTTTTTTTTTAGAAAGGAATTTTTTTCGGAAAATTGAAAAACTAAATAATTAAAAAAAATAACTCACGGCTAAAATTGGTGGTTCGAGATTTAGATCAATTGGATTCATGACAATGAACACCTGTTGATTTTTGTGAGTCAATCCACCGGGTTCTCTGAGAGCGGCTTTACAATAATACTGAACCCAACCATTTTTCCCAAGAAATGTTGAAGGTAATCCTAATGGTAATCCTAATTTAAAAGGAAAACTGTGAATTCCAGGTGACAATATAGAAGGTCCCTCACCTGTATCATGTTAATAAGAAAAAGTTGCATCATTATGCTGCTCGCGTCACGCTTTTCCTATATACAATAACCGAGATTAATTACCGCAAGAGGTATATTGAAAGTAAACTTTGGAATTCCAGTTGGAAAAAAAATTCAATAAAATAACAAATTTATTGTTTTCATTAGAATTAATTAATTATTAATTATTAATTAAATAACTGCTTTTAATAATAAGAAAAGATTTTTTATTTTTTAATTACCTGGGTCTCCCAAAAGTCTCATTCGAAAGTCAATATAATTTTCCTTATCGTAAATTCTTTCGGAGCGATGACTTCGAACTCTGACAACTCCTTCTCCGATAACGTGAAAATGCAAACCCGATACACTAAAAAAAAAATTCCAATAAATATTGTACCTAATTTTACGATTTTAAAATTATTTTCGAAATTTAATGCAATTCTGCACTGAAAAAAAAAAGAAAAATAATTATTCTATTCAAATACCCGATTAATTATGACTATTAGCAAATAAATATTTAATTGAATAAAATAATTTTTATTTCAATTAAATAAATTATATTTCAACCAATAATTTCTTTATTTGAAATAAATATCATCTCAAATAATAATTATTTGATACAAAATAATGGACAACCCAAATAATATTTATTTGATACAAGTAAATATTTATTTGATACAAGTAAATATTTCTTTGATACAAGTAAATATTTATTTGATACAAGTAAATATTTCTTTGATACAAGTAAATATTTATTTGATACAAGTAAATATTTCTTTGATACAAGTAAATATTTATTTGATACAAGTAAATATTTATTTGATACAAGTAAATATTTATTTGATACAAATAAATATTTATTTGATAATAGTCAAAGTAATCGAGTATTTGAATCAAATAAAAAAAAATTTTTTTTCCAGTGTGATAAAATGTAATTATTACTACTGCAAAGCCAATCCTTCAAATATAAATTCTCTAAATTTCCCAGCATCTCCGATATCTAATAACTATATAATAATTATACATTCTTCATTTCAAGAATTTTTAAAATACATTTAAAAAGTTTTTAAACGTTTTAAAACGTTGTAAATTTGAAGAGAGCTGATTTTTTTTATAATATTGTTATAAATAATAAAATAAATAAATTAATAAACTCATAAAATATTGAAAAATAATAATAAAAAGGAGAATTGAAAAAATTCAGCATTTGAATATATGAGAGGAATACAAATGTCATAATTTTGCGTTTCCTTTCGCTCACATTTACATATTTGAGACAATGAAATTTGTTTTTAAATTTTTTAACCTCGAAAACAAACTTAAATTGAATCACTTAAAATAAATAATAATAATAATAATAATAATAATAATAATAATAATAATAATAATAATAATAATAATAATAATAATAATAATAATAATAATAATAATAATAATAATAATAATAATAATATATACACGCAATAAAAATCTTCACCTAGAACAGCGATATATTTAACTAAAACAGGGAAAGTTTTCGCTATTCTAGAGAAATATTTCATTGTTCCAGAGAAACTTATCGCTGTTTCAGCTGAAGATTTTTTTTTGCGTTTATCATAATAATTTTACGTGGAAAAAAAAAATTCTTCTAATTCATATATAGTTATAAACAAATAGCTGTATACAATAAACATTAATTATTCGAAATAATTAAACGTATTGTATGTTATAAACAAATTTATTAATATTTAATAAAGAATTTTTCAATTAGAATTTCAAATAATATTATCTTTTATATTTATAATTAATTCTGGTGACCTCATGAAACTATTTTTATTGAAATAAAATATTCATATCTTATTCTCGCAAATAGAAAAATCAATGACAGACATCAATTAAGTTTGCATACAATCAGATGAAAATTCGCTAGTAAAATTATATGAAATGAATCTTGATTAAAAAAAAAAAAAAAAGAAAAGGCTTATTATAAATTATAATTTTTTTTCTCATTAAAAGAAAATAAATTTTGATGCTTCAAAAAAAAAATCGAATTTTTTTTTTTAAAGAAAAATCTCCATCTGTTCTATTTTAATTGAATTCTATACATAAAGAGATTTTTCAATTTTTCAAGGTCTCAAGATGTAACAAAATGTGGGAGGCATATATCCAAAATAGAATTAATTTAAAATTTAACTGGTCCGATAACTTTCTAAATATTACATACAATTTATCAGCTTTCATTTATATAAACTTTTTTTAAAAAAAAAAAAATAATATCGGAAAATGCTATTTTATTACATAACAAATTTATTTGAAATATATTTAAATATCGATTTTTAATTTAGAAAATAAAAAAATTAAAATTTTTTTTATAAAAAAATAAATATTTTTTATAAAAGGAGGAAAAAAAAAATTCTTTTTGACAATAAAGAACTTACTATGCTTCATCGTCCAATTCGATGAGGACTCTCCCAGACAAAAAATGTCCCGGGAAATAAAGTAAATTTGTATTGTCGAAGAGAATAAGAAATTTACTCAACTTGCGAGTCATTTTAAAACTGAATAAACTTTTTTTTTTTTTTTTTTTGCCTATTTTGAAGCAATGATGATGTTGTAATCGTTACGAGGTTTGACCACTTGATGTTGCATCAAGGATGTACCCGCATGCAACTATATGAAGAGAGAGAGAATCACACTTTGAATCTAGTTAAACATGGCAATACTGTTTATTCTTTTATCTTCACTTCTTCTTTTTTTTTTTTTTTTTTTCTTTTCCTTTTTAACAGAGATGAGGAATGTGTTATATATTATTTCTGTTTTTCCTTTTCCTTTCTCTTACTTTTGACAATGTCTTTTTTCTTTTCGTTTTGTCATTGTGGATTTTTTCTTCAACGATAAAAAAAAAATGAACTCACGAGCGATAATTTCTATTAAAATTATTAATCGAATGAAAATTCGTGATATACATGCTTATGTCAAAAGGCAACTGCATCGGCGCGTGAAACTTTCTGCTGGAGACCAGTACACACATCAAGGACCCTACCTCTTCCTGCCCATTCTTGGTGCTGAGTTCACTTTCGCTCCCCTACCACATTTTTACTCTCTTGGTTCTCCAATCGTTGATGTTACCTGATATACCTGTGGTCTCAAGTTGGGACAATCCTAGGAATTCTTCATTGATTTGTTATACTGCATTTTTTATTTTATTTTATTCATCATTGACGCAAAGTTATTTGGCACACTGAACATGCAATTCAATGAGATAATAAAACGCGAACGAGACGCAATTTATTTAAATCAAGAAAATTAAATTACTTGATTTTACATAATTTTAACAAGATTCTCTTCTAATTTAACTCTCTTCATTCAACAAAGTAAAAAAGAACATAAATTTTATTCTTTATGATTTTTTATTTTAAAAATTAATTGATTTTGAAAATGTTTGATTCAGGAATTTAATTTGAAATTTATATAAAAAAAATTTATATATTTATATAAATAATTAATTGACAAAAATTGATTTAAATTATATTCAATTCTTTAATTAAATAATTAAATCTTCAATTAATATATTGTTATCCTTAATGTAATAATAATATAAAAATTTAATTAAATTATTTAATTTAAATGTTATTTAAAAAGTAATGGTAAATAGCGAACAATTTAATATTTGAAATTTCCCGCTACATTCAGTGCTACCACCACACGAGTCATACAAACAATAAACGTCAGTAGCGTGTCACTGTTTGTATAAAATCATTATGTCAACTACAAAAATCAATCAAAAAGAATATCTGAAGAAGTATCTCTCTGGCGATGACAAAAAGAAAAAGAAAAAAAAGAAGCGAATTGGTGTACAAACGTAAGTTATATTTTCTATGCTCCATAAACACTTTTTACTTGGATTACAGTTGTCTCTTACATTTTTAGGTTATCTTGATAATTTCATTAAAAAAAAAATAAATAAAAAACATCCACTTGGGACGTGAAATAAATGGAATATTATGTGAATTATTCATAAAATTTCACTTCCATGAAGTCAATGAATGGATATTACAATAATATTAAAAAAAATGGAATTGGAGTAGTAGAAATTGTTAAGAATTTTTGTATATAGCCAATCCTAAATTATATTATTTTTTTCGAAAATTACATATTAAAAATGTAATTTTATTTCAACAATTGTAATTTTTAAGTATCTGTTTTCTAGAGTAAAAATCATTGACGATGACGTTGACCTGCAGAAAATTAGACCTCTTGACGACGATGAATTTGAAATTCTAAACACTACAGAGGATGCTCCACAAATTGTTGGTATTGTTGATGAACGAGGACCTGCGGATTTTTCCGACAAGAGCAAATGGAGAATTATTGCTGACGATGGAATGGGTGACATTAGCATTAGGGAACAGAAGGAAAATAAAAGAGACGATGACAATGAATTCGATGAGATTTCAAAGGAAATTCCCCAAAAAAGCAAAATAGAAAATGATGATTTTAGTCCATCAAGACAGAAAAAAACCAATAAACATAGAGATTCTGATTCAAATTCAAGTCCAGAGGGAAGAAATGATTCCGATTTAAGTCCACCAAGAAAATCTAAAAATAAAAATTACGATTCCGATTTAAGTCCACCAAGAAAATCCAAAAATAAAAATTACGATTCCGATTTAAGTCCTCCGCGAAGAACCAAAGCAAAAGGTAATGATTCTGATTTATCACCACCTAGAAAATCAAAGAAAACAAAATATGATTCAGATGTAAGCCCACCGAGAAATGAAAGACGAAGAGGAAAAAATGATTCCAATTTAAGTCCAACAAGAAAATCGAAAGGAAGATCAAAAAATTACGATTCTGATTTAAGTCCACCAAGAAAATCCAAAAATAAAAATTACGATTCCGATTTAAGTCCACCGAGAAAATCCAAAAACAAAAATTACGATTCCGATTTAAGTCCTCCGCGAAGATCTGAAGCAAAAGGTAATGATTCTGATTTATCACCACCTAGAAAATCAAAGAAAACAAAATATGATTCAGATGCAAGCCCACCGAGAAATGAGAGACGAAGAGAAAAAAAGAAAAATTTCGATTTGAGCCCACCAAGAAAATCAAAAAATTACGATTCCGATTTAAGTCCACCGCGAAAATTTAGAAATAAAAATTATAAATCAAGTCCATCGAGAGAGGACAATAGAAATAAATATGAAAAATCAAATTTAAATCGTCGAAAATATCGAAATTCGGAAAGTCCTAAACATTCTAGAAATAGAGACAGAAGATATGATAAAAATGAGAGAATTGATGAACGTTCATTTAAAAGAGGTGAAACAAGACGTGATTTTGAAAGGAATTCACCAGAACGAAGAAATAGAAAACGATCAGAATCACCATCAAGACAGAGAAAATCGAGATGGAATCGTGAGAGCAAATCAATAAGTCCAGAAATTTCCAAGGATAAGCGAATGAAGAAAACGTTGGATGGTAAACAAGCAGGATTACAAGATGCGAAAGCGTTAAGAGAAGAAACAGCGGCTCACAAAAAGAGGGAAACTGAAATGTTCGAAAAGGTTAGAAAAATAATTGCAAATGGAAAATTTATATTGGAATAAATTTGTTTTTTTTTAAATAATATAGTTAGGACAGTAACGAACTTGAGTAATTAATTTTAGTTAACTTTCTACAATAATTTTTAATTTTCAAACGTTTATTACAGCTAAGTGCAGAAGTGAGTGGACAGGGTCAATCGGTTGTTATTCGAGATAGAAAAACTGGAAGAAGACGAGATTTGCAAGCAGAAGCTGCCATTGAACGTGAAAAGGAGGAAAGACAACAAGAAGTAAATGAACAGTACGCAAAATGGGGAAGAGGGTAAGATAAATAACAATAAATTATTGTAATTATAAAATTGAAATTTAATTTAATTTTTTTTTAAGGCTCAAACAAGAAGAAGATCGTGAAGAGAAATTAAAGGATGATTTACACGAAATGAAAAAGCCTTTGGCAAGATATGAAGATGATGAGGATTTGGTAAAATTACAAAAGAATGCAATTCGCGATGATGATCCAATGTTGCAATTTGGTAGGGAAAAATTAGAAGAGCAAGGTTTAATTAAAACAGGTACTTTTTGCTATATATTTTTTTTTATAATTGAAAGAAATCAAAACAAATTTTGATTTTTTATTTGAATAATTTTATTTTCAGCCAGTAAAAAGCAATTATCAGCGCCACCTAATCGATTTGGTATTATGCCTGATGAAAAATGGGATGGCGTGGATCGTAGCAATGGTTATGAGAAAAAATGGTTTGATTCGCAAAATGCAAAAAAAGCGAGAAAAGAAGAAGCTTATAAATACAGTACTTCGGATATGTGAGAATATTTGGTTGATTTTTTTTTCTACAAAACTTGTATAAAAATCTAATTTTAGTAATATTATTATATATATATATATTAATTATTATATATAATAAAGCAAAATTCTGTAAAGTCATTTGCATGTTTAAACAATTAATTAGTGTAATCGAAAATGGAGATTTCCCATTCAGATTGAAAATGATGGAAGAAGCGTTTATTTCTTAATGTTCCAGAACCTTTAGACTAACGAGAAATGACTATAGGTAGATTAAATGATCGCTAGTGGAATTTCGATCGGTGTACTTGGAACAACGTGGCTGCTATTTAATGTAGTAAGTTTTAAAGTGTTGGTGCTATACGTTAAACAAATACATTCAAAGTGCCTTTGTATTTATATATTTATGTAATATAGGAGCTATCCTATATATGAGTGAGTCAATAGAGACTTGGAAATAGGGTATATAGTTTGTTAGCAAGCAATAGAGACTAATTAACATTTTCCATCATGAATGAGAAAACTTTCAAAACTACAATTAAACTATAGCATCAATTTTTTTTTTTCAAATATTTTTTTCCATTTTTTTTTTAAATTACTATAAATTTATTTTATGATTATTATTTTGAATTTAATTTTTTTGTTCCTTTTAACTTCAGGGACATGAAATTTTCAAGTTCCCTTGATCAATTTGGAAGTTTCCATTTTATTAATTTATTCATAAGCATACATAAAATAAAGTTATTGAATAAATAAAATTCTAAACTAAATTATTATTGTTAGAAAAATATTTACTTTAATAAGTTTCAAAAATATATTACGTGCAATATTTTTAAAGAAATTGTCGAAGTAAAGTAAAATAGGATACTGTTGTACTCATGACCTGAAAATTAAAGATTACCTTTTTACATTTCGAAAAATCAGTAAAAAAAAAAAAAAAGACAGAAGATAAAGCTTTTTTTTTTACCGACATAAAGCTGGCTAAAGACACGGGAAAAAAACCTCCAGCTGATATATAGCATGATCTTTGAGATCTCATGATTATTGTTCCAACAGCTTGTCGAATTGATTTTCCATGTTTATCAAAAGGAATGCAATACCAAAGCATTTCATATGCAGAATATGCAACTTGATTACTTTCAGTAATGATATTATTTCCATTATATGTTGTTATATATGTTTGTAAAAGACTACATGACAAATGAAATTTAAATAGCATTCCTTTAATATATGAAGTTTCAATCTGAATTATCATATGCAATGTTATTGGGGAAATTAAATATTTATTTTTATACGAAATATTTTTTATATATACACTAACCAAAAATACTTGAATACCAGTGACGCAAATCATAACTGTTGCTACAAATATTAGAAAAAAAAGATGAAAAGAAAAAATGTCTTCCATTTTAGAGATATAAATAGTCAATGATTTATGATATTCTATTAATTCTTTTAGTTTATCCCTTAATTCTTGACTATTTTTTTCACTGTTTAAATTAAGAGAATCACAAATAATTTTTAAACGACGTTGAAGAATTTTAAATTGTCCAACAAGAAATGATGAGAGAAGATAAAATAAATTGTCAAAACAACATACCAATATACCTGTATGAAGCAAAGGCAATACCTATATTGGAATTAATTGCTATTAGTATAACAATATTCTTAAAATAATTAAACCTTTTTTTTTCAACAATTTAACAATACCTGAATAACATAAGTTATTTCAAATTTAGGTGATTTTTTTGCATCAGAATCAAGAAACTTAGATATTCCATTGAAAGGAAATTTTCTATCCTCTTCCGATTGTCCTATGTTTTCTGAAAATTTGTAAAGATATAAATAAAATTTGACCATTTTTTTCAAAGTAAATGAAATATTCAAAACTGACCAATTATTGGAACGAAAGTGTATAACATTATAGTAAAATAAAGTGTAATAATAAAAGCGCCAATTGAATACATTGCTTCTTTATTGGAAGCATCCATAATTTCTCGATCATATTTGTTATATATTTTAAACCAAATGTGTTTTTTCGTATAGCGAATTAAAGCAATTAATTTGTGTCTCTTATAAAAGTAAAGTGAAAACTTTATTATTACTAAAGATAATGGTAACCCAGCGCACAACCAGTATGTTATATCCTGAAATGTTACTTTTTAGTAAGTGAAAAGCAAAAAAAAAAAAAGTTACTGGGGCATTCTTTGGGAAATTTTCATTGAAAAATTTTTTTTTGTCCGAAACATTTTTTTTTCGAAATCTATATGAAAAATAAGGAAATAGGGTAAATGCATTAATTGCGGCGAGATTCGAGTCAAAACACCTTTGAAATAGAAAATTCGACATTTCTATTGTATAAACTCAATTTAAGACTTATTAAACTTAAAGCTTATGTTATTAAGATATGAAAAAAAAATTTTAACTCTATAAAAATCGATTATTTAAACAAATATGAGAATTTAAACTAATACCGTAATTTTCTATTGCGGCGAGTTTGTATCAGTTTCGGTGTATCAATTTCGGTGACCAAAATTACGTGTATTTTGAAGATACTTTGCCCGCCGAAATTGAAGCCAATGGAAATCTTAAAAATGTTTCAATTGCGGCGCGGAAAAAAATTTGATCTCAAATAATTAAATTAATAATTGTTTAAATGTGCATCTTTATAAGTATTTGTATCAAAAAAAGATTGAAATAATTTTTTTTAATCATTTGGCAACAGTTATATTAAATATAATAGTAATAATAGTTATTTTTTATGAACGCGCCGTAATTAGTGCACTCGCCGTAATTAGTACACTTACCCTACGTATTTTTTTATTTTTTTATTTGATGAAAATGATTTTTTGAAATTTAACGTCAACAAAGAAAGTGTGTTTTTGGAACATTTTTTAATCTATTGTACTAATAAATTGAAAATTATCCTATATATGAAATTTGTTCATTTTTTCTCAAATTTTTCAAATATGTCCTCAAAAATAACGTACCTATAACAGAAACAACAAAAAAAGTTGTAATTAAACTTATAAAGTGAGTTTTCTCAAAAGAGACACTTTCGATTTTTAATTTTTTTTTCTTTTGCATTACAATATCTGATGATTGAAGAATTTTTTCCCCTATCTGCGAAAGTGGTACTTTTAGTTTTTAAATTACTATTTACAATTTTTAAGCTTGACGCAACGATTTTTAGTATGTTTTTATGAAATTTAAAAAAAAAACAAATATATGGAAATTATATTTGTAGAAAAAATGCTTAAATTCTGTGAGCCGTACTAAAAAATAATTATAAATAGTAATTTAAAAACGAAAAGTACCACTTTCGCAGATAGGGGGAAAAATTCTTCAATCATCAGATATTGTAATGCAAAAAAAAAAAAAAAATTAAAAATCGAAAGTGTCTCTTTTGAGAAAACTCACTTTATAAGTTTAATTTCAACTCTTTTGTTGCCTCTGTTATAGGTACGTTATTTTTGAGCACATATTTGAAAAATTTGAGAAAAAATGAACAAATTTCATATATAGCATAATTTTTAATTTATTAGTACAATAGATTAAAAAATGTTCCAAACACTTTCTTCGTTGAAGTTAAATTTCAAGAAATCATAACTTCCTTCATTTTCATCAAATTAAAAAAATAAAAAAATACGTATTTCCTTATTTTTCATATAGATTTCGAAAAAAAAAATGTTTCGGAAAAAAAAAAAATTTTCAATGAAAATTTCCCATATAATGCCCCTACTCTTTTCAGTGCGGAGAAAACTTACAGATAAACTCCCAAGAGATATTGTTACTTCCATTGCTTGAGTTATTATAGCACCAATTATCGCTTGTAATGAATAGATTTTACAAAATTTTAATATAATTTTCTCTTTCTTATTTTCTCCATCCCAAAAACCTGCAATTGTCAATATAATTCGAGTTATTTTTATTGAAATATATTCATCTTTTTTTGACATTTTTGTTCTATTATTATTATTATTATTATTATAATTATAAAAATAATTATTATTATTTTATAAAAATATAATTTTTTTTCTATAATAGAAAAAATAATTCTTCTTTGGAGTTACAATGTAATACTAAATAAAAATACAATTTTTTATAAAGAAAAATTTCTATCGATTAATATAGACAATTTTTGTAATTTTCTCTTCAAAGTATAGTCTCTTGAAATATGTAACATAATTACAGAAAATTGCATTTTAGGAAAAAAAAAAAAAAAAGAAAGTCCGTTATTATGATAATGTTCGAGTATCATTTTTGATGATAGATAATAGTAGAGGGGACAAATCAAACTTGATATAATTCCAAGAATACCTTATACTTTATGATCGATACAAGAAATGACACCTGACCTGCGATTTTTTTCATAATATTCGGAGTGTCAGTCGCGGTTCAACTACTCAGAGAAGAGGATTGTAAATTCATTCATATTCCAACGATAACTGATGGAAAATAACTATTAATAATATAAAATTCAATTTTTACAAAATTATATATAAAGGAATGTGTGATAAAAATTAAAAAAAAAAAAAAAAAACCTTTGAAATAAGTTCAATTTTTTCTACCCCCATGTGAAAAGGTTTTGGTTACCTAAAAGCTAAGTATAACTCAAGTTTTCACAGAAAATTAAAAGGCATTAAAATAAGCTGCAACGCTTATTATTTTAATCCAATTTTGCTTATTTTAATCTATTTTGGTATTAAAATAAGCAAAATTGGATTAAAATAATACACGTTGCAGCTTATTTTAATGCCTTTTAATTTTCTGTGATTTTTTTTAAGTTTCTTTTTTACGGTATAATTTTTAATATTTTAATATTTTAATTTAGGTACTTAATTTATCAAAATAAATTTATTAATATTAATTCATTAAAAATTTTTAAAATATTTATAAATTATATAAACAGTTTTTATTAGAAACACAGAAAATTAAAAGGTATTAAAATAAGCTTCAACGCTTATTATTTTAATCCAATTTTGCTTATTTTAATACCAAAATGGATTAAAATAAGAAAAATTGGATTAAAATAATACGCGTTGCAGCTTATTTTAATACCTTATAATTTTCTGTATAATTCAAATTAGTAAACTTTTTTACTAATTCAGATTTAGAGAGAAATAATAAATTTAAATAATAAAATTATAAATTAATAATAATTTTATAATAATTGTGTAAATTGTTTTGAATTTCGCGCCATTATCGTTGTTTTCCAAGCGCCGTTAATTTTTTTTAACGTCTGCACAGAAAATTAAAAGGCATTAAAATAAGCTGCAACGCTTATTATTTTAATCCAATTTTGCTTATTTTAATACCAAAATGGATTAAAATAATAGTTGCAGCTTATTTTAATGCCTTTTAATTTTCTGTGTTATTTATTTATTTTTTAAATTAATATTACATAAAAAATTATATTTAATATTAATTTAATACTGTCTTTGTATTTTATATTATTATTTATGCAAAAAAAATTTTGTAAATTTTTTTTAAACCATCTGACGAGGTGGCCGAGTGGTTAAGGCGTTGGACTGCTAATCCAATGTGCTCTGCACGCGTGGGTTCGAATCCCATCCTCGTCGGTTATTTATTATTTTTAAAGAAATTTTTTACTTTTGAAAATAAAATAATTTTTATGCTAATAAATTTTAAATAATATTTATTCTAATTATGTTTGAAAATTTCTAGATTTTGCATTGTATCGAAGACATATATTTTATCCTGAAAAGATATTTTTCAAAAGTTTCCTAATGTCTTATATAATATGACGTTTAAAAAGACATTCGTTTTTGCAGTGACTGTGGAAAAATATATATATACATTTTTTTCCTATCTATAAAGGAAGTTTCCTTAATGTACAAGGCTATTTACTATCACGAAGCTTGTGCCACTTGCACTGTCCAAAGTAATTAAGTAATTATTGACACTATAAATACAATTCTCTGTATATCTAGGTCTAAAGTTAAACAATTAAATATAGTTTCTGTTTTAGAATTAACATTGATTTCAATTTTATTTAAAAAAAAAAAAAAAAAAAAGATTTATTGCCATTGAATTTGTTTTATTAAAAAAAAAATTTTTTATCAATTTTCCGTCTGATTTTTAGTTTACTAAGTTTTTTAATCAAAACTGTTTTTTTTTCTTCCGTTTAGTTTAAAAGTTATAAAAATATATGTTTTTAACAGAAATAAAATTGACTTATCGCAATGCATGAATTTTCTATAAAAATAAATTAAAATTTTTATTTTAAAGAATTTTATTTATATAATTATTTTTTGAATTAACCAAAATTATTTTTTTGCAAATTTTTACTTAACAAAATTTTTAGATAATAAATTTTTATTTGGACAAATTTTTATTTTTGCAAAATTTTTCTTTAGATAGTTTTTTATTTAAAAAATCCGAATTTAACCGAATAGTAATAATTCTCGTTCAACAGACGGTAAAATTTTCGGTAATTTACAATTTCGGACTAAAAAATCGGAAAATTCGGCGTTTTAAAAATTTGTATCAAATAAAAATTCGGACAAATGAAAATTCGATGAATTGTAAATTCTGTCATTTAAAAAAATTGAATTTGAATCATTTATTATTTTATTGAATGAGAATTCGGTTAAATTAATATTCGGTTAAAATAGAAAAAAAATGGGTTAAGAAAAATTGTGTAGAATAAAATAAAAATTCTGTACAAAAAAAGATTCGAATTTTTTATTTGTCCGAATTTTTTCATTACACGAATTTTTATTTGATAAAATTTCTAAAATGCCGAATTTTTATTTGTCCAAAATTGCCAATAGCCGAATATAAAATCAAATTGGTAGGATTTTTAAAATTGACCAATCATAAATTATCGAAAAAAAAATCGTGATTCGTTAATTTTGTAAATTCGCGCCGAAATTTTTTGGTCCGCGCGCTATTTGTTCGGTAACGGTAATTTACAATTTCGGACTTAAAATTCGAAAAATTCGAAGAATTCGGCGTTTTAAAAATTGTATCAAATAAAAATTCGGACAAATGAAGATTCGATGAATTGGAAATTCTGTTAATTAAAAAAATTGAATTTGAATCATTTATTATTTTATTGAATGAGAATTCGGCTAAATTAATATTCGGTTAAAATAGAAAAAAAAATGGTTTAAGAAAAATTGTGTATAAAATAAAAATTCTGTACAAAAACAAATTCAGTAGCTGAAAAAGGGGTCTAAAAAAGAAATTTTGTAGAAAGCAGGGAAAAAAATCTTTATCAGGAACAGTGATATGTTTCTCTAGAATAACAAAAACTATCACTGTTTTAGTGAAATATATCGCTCCTTCAGGGAAATATATCGCTGTTTCAGGTAAAAAAAAATTTTTTCCTGTATTATTTACGAACAATTAATAAAAATAAAAATTTCAAATCTAACTACATTAAAAATTAGAAAAATTAACCAAAGACTAGTTTAAATTTAGATAAGTACATTAAGTAAAAATTACAAATAAATATTGCTTTTTTAGTCTAGTGACAATCAATCATAATTTTTTTTTTTTTTTTTAAATAAACGAAAGAATCACGCGACAAGTGACTATATTGATTATAGCCAACAATATTAATTTAAGATTTACATCGAATATATGAAAATTCCCTCTTATCTGAAATTATCATCAACTCAATTCATATATTTTCAGTATGGGTACAAGCCTCGTTAACGACTATGCTACGTCATCCAATAATCTTTTGTTCAGGGTTGCTTTTCCCTTATTCACCCTGTGTGTGCAAATAGATATATATATATATCGACGTTAGCAGTCGCGACGCAAGGGCAGGGTCGGCGAATAGTCTTCAGTATGGCCCGCGAACCACGACGGGCATGTTCTATCTCGTCTAGTTTTAGCCTCTATATTTAATTTTTTCACCGGTAATAGTGAAATCAATTCTACCGAAAAAAGTAAATAAATAAAATCTCTCCGAAATGTGTGTGTGTGTGCGTGAGGCCTAATCAAAAAGCACAATAAAAAAAAAATTTATTGAATTAACACGTCGTCGTGTTTAAAGCGCACAAGCTGCCGGCATTTTACCAATAAAAAATTATTTCTAAAGTTAATATAAAAAAAATAATAATTATTATAAATTAATTAAAATAAATCAAATAACAAAAAAAAAATAAAAAAATAAAAAAATTCTAGATAATATTTATTGAAAGTGTTTCGTAATAATTGGAAAAACTCGATAATCAAATATAAACAAAAATAGATAATTTACAGACAGCTATACAATTTTTTTTTTTATAAATGAATTTTTTTGTTCGAAAATTTGAGATAAAAAAGTGATATCTAATATAAAAGTGGAATCTGTGATTTTTCTCTTTGACTCCAAATAATTGTGGAATTGCATTTTCCGAGAGTATATATACTTTTTCGTAAAATCAAACAATATATATACTATATATATTTTTCTACTCGACGCCAGACGAATCGTCGCCTTTCCTCCCACGCAACAGGAAAAAGGTTGTCACGAATTTCAATTATAAAGCGAGTATTTAATAATATTATATATATATATATATATATATATAGCAATATTGATAAGAAAACAGAAAGTTAAAACGCATAAGATAATTGCTTGCATTTTATAAATAACAAAACTTTAATTTAGTCGTCTTTTTAATTATTGTGGTGTAACAGTAAAAAAAAAAAAAGATCAGCTTTTTATTGCCAAAATGGGATGTAACACAAGTAAGGAAACCGTTCAGCCGGCAGCGGAAGATGCGAAAGAGGACGTTAAGAATGGCGGTAAGGATACATGCGTTTTATTTTTAAAATCGATTTTTTTTTCATTTCCTTTTTTGTCGATTATTATCATAATTGTAATTTTCATTTGTTTGGAAATTAAATTAACAAATCAAATGGCGAAAATCAAAAACGAAAATTTCACTTATTAAAGAACTGTAATTAAAATTAAATTAAAAAAAAATTAAAATTTCTACGAAAAATATTTGTACACATTTTTCTATACTATAAAAATATATAAAATAAATATAATGTAAAAATGTATAAATATATATATTTTTATAAATATAGAAAGAGAAGAAACTACAATAAAGAATAAAAATGAAGCTGAAGTACGCAACGTTTATGATAAACAATTTTTAAAGAAATAATTTTTTAAAATGGAAAATTCTATAATTTTTTTCCTATAAAAAGTATTTTTTGTAGTTTTTATTAATCAACAAATTATAAAAAAATATTTTTTAGGGAAAAAATTATAGAATTTTTCATTTTAAATAATTATTTCTCTAAAAGCGTTTATCATAAACGTTGCGTACTTCAGCTTCGTAGATATAAAGATAATAAAGAAATTATTTATATACCATTTTAAAGTGTATAAAATATTTAAACATATTTACAATATCAATTTAAATGGAAATGTGAACAAATAATTAATTCATTGTAAATTAGGTATATTTATTTATTTATTTAGGAAAATATATTATTTTCCAATAATCTTTAGTTAAAATTTTTGTGATCTGCTTTAAGATATTATTGTGAGTTAAATTTATTCCACTTGACAAGGGCAAAAGGCAAACACTGATAAACGATTAGTTATTGATCAATGAAATAAAATACTCCAAATTATTCCTCTCTATAATTAATAATTATAATACAATAATAAAATAATAGTGAAAAAATGAACAAAATTAAGATTTAGAAATTAATTTAAAAATTACTTTTTTTTTCACGTACATTATTATTTTTATAATTAAAGAAAATTAAATTAAAATCATATTTTATAACACACACATTTTAAATGGAAAATTTATATAACATTTTGAGCTTTGCAGATTTTTTAATCTTCAAAGGATTGAAATCTAAAGTAGAATCTACATGAAGAGGATAGTGTTCACAAAAGAAAATTCATTCCTTTGTTTTTTAAAAGCGATTTTTTTTTTTTTTTTATTCATTTACCCGAGATAAAATTCAGTAACAAATCCTCTATTTCATGTTAAAAAAATATTTTATATTTTTTACGATCATTTCAATATTGAAGGCTCTTTTAAAATTTTGCTTATTTCAAGTTAAAAATGATTATTTATGATTTTCATATATTTATTTTTGGAAAATTAAAAAAATTTTTTTTTTAAAAGTAAAAAATTGTTATATACAGAAAATTAGGCTTAATTATTTTATATATATATATTTATAAAGACAGAATTATCAGTGCAAAATGGCATTAAGTTTTAGTTAAATTAATATGATGGATTCTACGAATGAATAATTCTTCTCCTAATTATCTCGTACTAGACTTGTAACTCTATAAGCTTTATGCAACGAGACTGCCAGTCATAAACTATATATAGTTTCAAACATGTAGTTCGTGTATAATTCAAAAGAGGACTAAATCAAATGAAATCCAATGGTATTTAAATAATATTTAAAAAAGAAAATTTTTAAATTAAAAAATATAAAAAAAGAAAAAAAAATGAATTATTTAATGAATGAAAAAATTATGAATAAAAAATAAATTATTAAATAATGAATAAGTTTAAATTTCATGGTTCTGTATAATATATCTGACAATTTAATGTGAAATCGAATAATTAACTTGAAAATCAAACAGATATGCGCTATTCGTGTCGAACAATTTCTCATATAGGGAATTGGTACGTGCACTACTTGCAGCTAAGTTAATGTGTTGATTTGTTATCGTGATAATGCACATTTATTGAAGTGAGAAAAACTTTCTGCGAAGTCACACTTTAAGATGGCACAAATAATAAAGAATTACATTGTTTTTCTTTTAGAACACCTCAGAGAAAAAAAATATATATATATATATTTCTCTCAGTAGAGCTAAATAAATACTTATTTGTTTCAAATAAACTTTTCTTTGAATCAAATAAATATTTATACTTGAATCAGATAATTTTTACTCGAATTAAATAAATATTTATACTTGAATCAAATTATTTTTACTTGAATTAAATAAACTGTATTTGAATTAATCATTTCTGTATTTATTATTAAACTAATATTTATTATTATTATTATTATTATTATTATTATTATAAATACCTAATAATCGTTTATTAACTATTATTTATTATTTTTGATTTATTATTTGATAGAAATAAATATTAATTTGATATAATAGTCACACAGAAAATTAAAAGGCATTAAAATAAGCTGCAACGCTTATTATTTTAATCCAATTTTGCTTATTTTAATCCATTTTGGTATTAAAATAAGCAAAATTGGATTAAAATAATAAGCGTTGCAGCTTATTTTAATGCCTTTTAATTTTCTGTGCAAGTAACCGATTACTTGAATCAAATAAATTTTTTTTTTGTAAATTTAATGTTATATCAAGAATTTTTTAAATCAGAGACAAAAGTGCAATCAATATTTGTTTATTCTTTATAATTGCCGAAAAAAGTTTTTAGTAGATTCTATATACTTGAAATTTCAAACCACTTTGGTTGCATATATAAAAAGTTGACATTCTTTACTACTTGACAAATATAATACAAGACTATAAAAAATTTAATCTTTTTAAACCACTTGAAGTAACATTGTTTTCTTCCATAAAGAAATAGCTTCAATTTTATGTAACATTATATTTTGCTGAGTTACAAATAATTTTTCGTTCATATTCTTTAAATTTTAGTATAATAAAAATTTTTCAATTTCAAATTAGAAATATTTTAAATTTAGTTCAATTCTATTATTATATTACATGACATTTTTTTTTTTTTTTTTTCTATTAACCAATATCCAGTGTAAAAGTAAAATTGGTGAAATTACATGATAGTTAGAGAGAATAAAAAGTTTATATCTATCGTTTATTTTCAAAGTGCAAGCAGATTTTATTTTCTATTCAAAGCTCTCTGAAAAGCTGCAATTTTATGTCGTGTTGTAAAAATTGTCGAACATTTTGAATATATACGATTTTACGATTCTAAACTTCGCAATATATATGTATTTGCGGTTTACTAAAAAATCAATTCTTGAAAAACATATTTACTCAAAATATTCATATTATATAATTTCAATGTAAAAAGCATAAAAATCTTTTGTAAATTCAGATTGGTTTAAAATCAAAACTTTTTTCTCCAAGTTTTTTTTTTTTTTTGGAAAAGTTTAATACCGCGATATCGAATTTCTTTCATTTGAAAGTTCTATAAAATGTCTAAGTAGAAAACTTTATCGAACATATATTTGTTCCGAGCTGAGTTCAAAACTTGTATATATTTTTTTTGTAATTCAAAGCTTAATAATAATTACAGAAATATATTTCTCGAATGTTAATAAAATACTAAGTAAACATTTTTGTTTGTTTAATTTTTATTTGAATTAAATAAATTGTATTTGAACCAATAATTTCTGTATTATAAAATAAATATAAATTAATTGATATACAAATAATAATTATTTGATACAAATAAATATTTAATTGATATAATAGTCGATTATTTGAATCAAATAAATTTTAATTGTATAATAAAATTATATTGCTTTAATTTTTCCGCGATAATATATAATCGCGTATCATAAATATAAATTCATATATCATTTTAAAAATTGCGTGCAAGATTGGCCTTCTTGTAGATAGGTTACTGTGTTTATGAAACTAACAAAACCATTTCATCAAATTCTATATATGACTTATATGTTGGCGAAACCAACTGTATCGTTTTTTTTTTATTTCCCTTCAATAATAGCCGCTAGCGATAAAAGATTAAAGTGAGATAGAAATTCAATACTTAGAAATAACCCCCAAGAATATTGAAAGTATTAATAAAAAAATAAAAAAATTGAAAGAATACAAATTGTATAAATAAATATTAGTGTAAAATTAATTCTTCATATTTTAATTATTTAAAAATAAACAATTCAAATGTATTTATAAAATATTTAATTAAAAAATCAGAAACAAATTAAGGTATTATTTTAAACTTTGAAATAATACACTAATTAAATTTGAAATCGCGAGCAAATGAAACTCTGCTAATTTACATTGCTGTTGAGAAAATAATCGTTTTATTTAATAAAACTTTTTTGTAATTTGAAAATTAAAACTAAAAATTCATTATTATTTGAAACAAAGAGGAAATTAATAATAAAAAAAAAATTACTTCCCGATTCTATAAATAAGTAAAATTATATATGAAATAATAATTCCGTATAGACAAAAGTGTAAACTACATTAAAAATGTAAAAGTGATTCTAAGGCTAAATATTTCAAAGTCAAGGGAACTTTAAAACAAGGAAATATATATTTTTAATCTATATATAAAAAAAAGTTACTTTTACAACTCATGTAAAATTGGTCTCATTAATTTTTACAAGTCACGGGTTTCCTTGAAGTCATATTTTTTCCGCTAAGTAAAAGGTCTCCTGTGGTGCGTATATATATATATATATATAAAATAAGAAATTTTTACCACGAGAATAAATTCGGATGACTTAACATGATTTTACGAGGAGCAAGTGCAATGAATTTAGTTAGTCACTGTCCTGGGGGGTAGCTTCCGAGGTCTTTGACCGGGGATCGATTTTCCCTTAGTATAACTCTTTCAGCTTGTTTTCATTCGATCGATATGATGATTCGACAAATATCAAGACCGCACCCTCTCTCTCTCTTTCTCTCTTTCTATAGATATTAAAGCTTTATGAGTTTTTCTTCAATTTAAAAAAAAAAAAGTCATAAATAATTTATCATATATTTACTCTCTAATCGAGTCTTGGAGGAAATTTAATAAATTTCGTGCCTACGCATTTGGAAAAAATCTCAC